CGCAGCTGCTATCAAATCCGGTAAATAGTTCCCACACCTGTCTGCCTTGTCTCATATTTCGCATTTTCACCATTTTTTAGTGCTCCACTTAGTGTTTGAAAGTTAGGTTAGTTAACCAGAAAATAACCGGAAAATAACCGGACCTAACCGCAACACTAACCTAACTGCAGTTAGGGTTAGTTGATTTCGAAAATGGAATAACCGGTTATTTTGTGGTTAACTAACCATTAAATAACCGGTTATAACCAGCCCTATTATACACCTTCAAAACGCACTTGAGAACGTCGAAAACACTTAAAATTTGACTAAGTTACAGTCAAATCTCTAAAATATCACTCAAATGTGTAGACTTTCAAGGATAATTGCATAAATATGTCAATTCTTCACCGATTTTAGCGTTCTTGGGCTCGTTTTAAAGCTAGAATATGCAGAAATAATATCTATCAAGATACATATGAGCATATTTGCCTTGTTATAACCGATTCTTTATTTTTCGGTCCTAACCGGTTAGTAACTGCAAATAACCGACCATAACCAGTTAGTTGTGGTCCAGTTAGGTTATTTTAGGTTTCGGGACAAAGGCTAACCGGTCTCGGTCTCGGTTAGAGCCCCTGGGCACCCAATAACCGGACCTAACCAGACTTTCGAACACTAGCTCCACTTGTTACAGCCTCTATGTAGATACATCAGTAGTCTCAAAAAATTTACCACTGCATCGTAATACCCCAAAGCAGCCAAACATTTCAGAAAATACCTCAAAAGTGCAATCATTCACCAGCAAATTCTTCAAAACTAAATTTAAATTCAATGAAACTATAGAAATTGCACATGAAACTGTAATAGTTCAAATCTTATGTATCCTCCAAGTTTCAGAAGATTTGAATGTGTTTCCATTGCATAATACATGAAGAACAGCTGTATCATTCAGTGGGGTAGTTTTTCGCTAAATCTGCAAATTTTGACAGAGATTCACTAGAGCTTTTTCCATCTTCTTCAAAATTCAGCATGAATGTAGAGAATAATAGATATGTAGCAACTTGATCATGAAGGAGATTTTAATATACAAATTGGCTTGTTTTTGCCAAAATCAGTCTAGAATTTTTTTCTTCTGGTTATCACTCTCACCAGGTTGACTAGAAGACCAGTCTGAACTGTTAGCCTTGCAGCCCTAATGGACCCATTCAGAAAGCCTGTGAATTTTGGATAATGAAAACAAATGAGTATCAACTAGTGCCCAAAAGAGTAGAGGACATTAAATATTCTTTTGAAAATCTTCATTGATGGGATGTTTCAGGCTCAATTGGGACTTTGATCACCTTTTGCTAGGTTTTTTTTGGCAGTTGATTACTGATTGATACTTAGAAAATATTATTTTATATACAGGATTTGTATGATGGCTGCAACACTTCTTGGCATCCCAAAAGTCTGTAAGCAGGCAAATACCTGTCACTTATAAATATAGTGCAGCCCTAATGTAATTCAGTATACAGCCTATTTTTTGGGATTTTCTGGATTTTTTTATCATAGGAAAGTGATGCAGTACTATGTAACAAATCCCTCCTTTTTTTCCTTTTTCCTCTTTCCTTTTTGGGAATTTTACTCTTTTTCCTTTTATATTCCCACAACTATGATACCAGGGCCCAGAAGAGAGGCTCGATGCTGTGCGGCGTCAACTGTCAATATGGGTAGCGGACCGCTTCACGGAGTCAGCTGACATTCCAAACTCCACAGCGCTAAAAGGCTTACTGCGCCGTGGCGTGATTCGGCGCCAAGTCAGCGAGGAGGCGTCAGAAAAAAACGCTCAACGGAGATGTGAAGCAGAACAACGCTCAGCGGCCTCCAGGTGACGAAGATGACATGCTATTTCATTTTCGAAATACAGAAGAGCAACAGATCCGCTATATAGACACCACCAGAAATCTAAAACGAACATTGAATGACATTGTAGGCGAAAAGACGAGCACACATACCTGACTCTTTCATCATCATTCACGTAGGGCGTAGCGACCCCGCCAAACATCCTGGATCTACCTCCTGTCATCCATTCTCGGCGTCCCTCACAGTCCTTGCCACGCCTCTGATGCAGCAAAAAGCCATTTGAATAGCTTGTCGCGACGGACAGCTCATGTCGGACCGAACGCAAGAAACTCCCAGCGATGTAGAGATGTCTCTTTTTGCTTCCAGCATTCGATACCTCGGTGGGTGGGACTTCAGCCATACCCATTCCGTTGACGGTCGTACGTTGTGACGTTTTGTGGTGGTCCGAGATTCGACACGGACCTGGAAGCACATGAAGTATCGCCCACTACCGCTGGATTGTTGTCGTTAGGGCGAGCCGTCGGTGGAGCTGCACGGGGCAGATCGCCGCAGGAGTTGGTAGGGGCGAGTGAACCACCCTCCGGTATGGTGCTTCAAGTTTCTCTCCGTTGGTTGTCGATCTCTCGTTTCACTTGAAGGGTGATTGACGCGGGACAAGTCAAATGCGAACCAGGACTGCGGCAGTGAAACGTTCATGGGACACGAGAAAAACGACATGGCCTCACAGAGACGATGGTCGGCAGCAAAAAAGTGGCTGAGATAGATATGTATCGCTGCGACAGACCTATTCCGTGTCGTATATCCCTAGCGCAGTGGACTTTCCAAATGCAGTGCGTGACGCAATTCGAGGCGGGCCAACGGTAGGTCATAGGCTAGCAAAGTTGGCGGAGATGATGATAGTCGACATGAAAGTCATGTTGATCATCGATCAACGTTTGTTTTCATCGCGTCTCTTTCCACCACCATCAACGAAAGTGCCCAAAACCCACACTATCGACGAGCCGCATCAACTCGTCAAGCGAGAGAAGTTATGAAGTGAGTATCTTCTTTCTTTAATTCAATGATCAGGTCGAGCTTATGGCCAGCATCAACTCAGCACCGCAGATTCGGAGTCAACGACTGCATCAGGCCTCGAAGATTGGTGGCGCCTTGCCTTGAAGAGGTATGGTTGATAGTTCAAGACGTTAAGAATTTAGAGAATTGGCTCCAGCAACCTTTTCGAGGTGTGCATCGCCATCCTATCTCTGACAACATAAACTAAACCTCGGTACTCAGACCTTCAAAGCTTCAATGCCTACCTCATATACACGGCCTCTATCTTTGCTCTATCTTGTACTCATGCCAAATTCTTCTTGCGGCACGGATGCTTCTCCGATGTAAGCCCTCCTTCATTCATGTTAGGGATCGTGACGGTGCAAACCTACACCTACTTCTCCACTTTTCGTAATGACCTGCGTATCTTAAAGTGGTTTGTACGTCGTCTTCCTCTCTCTCGCTCTCTCTCAGAGCAATTACTAAATAACACCTCACCAGAATTCGCTTGTCTGGTATCCCGGGGCCCAGTTTCCCAACAGTTTACAGTGTTGTGCTAAGACCTTCGAATGTTAGGTTTCTCGAGCTCGGAACCATGCTTTGCACCTCCATAGGCACATACACCATCTTCGTCACTAATCTTGGATGCCCCGAACGACTGGCGCAAAATCCAGATCTCATGAACAGCGCAGTACTATTGGTATCCTGGTCGACCATCTCCGAGTCAAGGTACTACCCACTGCCCCACCGTCACACTCCTCAATCATACCTCATTTCTCGCTCCCAGGCCATCTTTATATACCGCCTCTACAGATTTCCTCCAAACTCCTCATATGCATCGCCCTTCGGGGGCTATCCCTCTCTTGTCATTTATGATCGACTGGTGGATTGATGGCTGTAGCAACAGCAGTCTCTGTAAGTAAGCTCTATCATACGACACCAGGCGTTTCATTGACTCCCCTCCTGTTTTTTTTTTAGTTCTTCATGTGGGAAAACTGTAAGCCTCACTCCACCCTCAAACGCTCTAAAATATCAAGCGGCGATCCCCTGACGTATGGATGATGTTCTATTTAGCGATGCATACATGTGAATTGTTGCTCAATCTGCCTGCAAATGTAGCTGACAAAATTGTGAAGTCTTCTCGAACGCCCTGCTTTCATCGTATGTCCCTAGAACTACTCCACTTCACGTAGCAGCGCTTATTTAAGGACAGTATCCTCAGGCTTAACAATTGAGCCATCGAACGACCACGTTATGAATCTTACTGGAGATTTATATTTGACGTCCACGGCAGCGGATGATAGGATGAGGCTACGCATCCACCCTTTTCCTCTTTCTTTCCTTTCTCTGCTTCTTATGTTGGAAATTGACGTGGGGGTGGATTAGTTCGCCTCGGTTAACATGAAGAACCAGGGTATCGTCCCACTCTTAATGGTCTAACGACGGGCAGTAGTACTCGGGGGGAAGGAAGGTATTTCGCCGACTCAGAATGTTGGCAGAATGTAAAATTTTGTGAGGGTAGTTTATGAGGTGATTGCATGATTTTTCTTGTATATATCGTAGTTGTCGAAGCTTGGTCCAAAACAAATAAATCTGACTACCGAGCAGTTACCATTGAACCAAAGCTAATGAACGTTAACGAACTTTGATTGAACTTCGTAGAAAATGAGAAACGATGCAGACAAACAAGACCAATTACAACGGAATCGAAATTTCCACCGATGTCAACAACGACATCGACGGAGGACGCGTCGTCATCGTCGTCGGCGACGAGCTCTAAGAAAGTATCTACATGGCTTCCGATATCCGCCGTAAGCCCTTTTCATCAACCACTGATTGACTCTAACCCAACCGCTCCAGGTCGTCGGGACAAGTTTGGCGGTGGCCATTCCCCTCATCATGCTTCGTAGGCAACGCCGCGCAGGGCTTCATTCAGCTCTCAACTCAGCTGCACCTCCTCCGCGAATATCCCGGACGTCAATGTCGCAGGCTCCAGGGTCCCGTGCTTCCCCTCATCCAACGAAGTCACGTAGGTCTGAAAAACAATCCGAGTCAGAGTTCTCCTCGCCTGGCGTCGGTGAACTCATATCAGCGGTATCTAAAGCCGATCTCAACTCCTCCTTGATGGCGTTCAAGGCTTTTGGGATTGCTACATGTTTAGTAGCTGTTGGGGCCGTAACAGTTACGTGGAGTGTCAAGAGTGCGCTTGGGGTTAAGGACGTATGTGAAAATATCATCTTCTAGCTATCAGTCATCTCACCTCACCAACGTAGGCACAAGAGTTTGGCGAAAAGATGCGAACAACATTCTGGTCCGCGCTACCAAAAAACTTATTGTCAAGTATCTACCGACCACCCGCAACCGACGAAGAGCGCCATGATGCTTATGATGCTGCGCCGTTCGAGGTGGATGAGCGTTGGACGTGGGTGGAGGCTGAGAATAGGCTGAAGAGAGCTTATGATGAGGGTGGGTTTCCGTTGTGGGCACGGACTGCTATGCGGGAGGTCGAGGCGGAGGCGAGGATGGAAAGAGTTCGACGGCAGAGAGAGATGGATGAGAAAGCTGTTAGAGGTTCATAGGCTTGTGGTTGGCTATCCTAGTATGTTGGCTTCTAATCTAATCCAAAGTTGTGTGCAGGAACAATTTTTACGACTACGGGACTGACCATTGGCGGGACTATGATCCTTGAAGCTTGAAATCTCATCTTCTCCATTTCCATTTTTACGGAGTGATTGGCGAGGCTATGACTAGGTCAAATGGATATAACAGAGCAGCCGACGAACCATGAGTTTTTCTCCTTCCGCAGCTGGCGCATTACTCAATTTAGACCTAAGTGTGATGGACGGCAAACGCCAAGGAGTCTCAAGGAGTCCCCCTGCACCTGCACGGTCTCGTACTCCCGAACCCGGATCCTATTTCTTGTCTTTCTTTGCTACGTCCATTTTTATCGCTGTGTTTGCTGCCATCAAGCCAAGCCGCAGTACAAGAGTCGGGAGGTACCATACCGTTGTGCGACATAGCGCATCGTTAAAAAAGAAAAGTTGTACTTTGCGCAGTTGAATTCTGATGCGGTGCTGGGTACGACGTTAAGGGTATAAAGGCCTTGTTGAGGTCAGTCTGCTGTTCATCCCCTCAATTACACTCAAAGCTCAGTTTCACAGTCAAATCTCAGTCAAATGGTCGATACTCGTTTCTTCACTCTCATCGCTTTTTCTATTGGCGCTGCTCAAGTTGCTTGTGCGGCCGTTATTCCTACACCTGTCTTTTCCGGAAGTCCTACGGATTGCCCGACGTCGCTCTCCAAGCCATCAGGGGACGCGCCAGCACCAACTGACATTCCACAGGACAGCACTACGGGACCTTTGGGGTGTCCGCCCTCTTTCTCTGCGAGTGGTCTGCCAGATATCGTACGAGCATCCGCAATTGAGTCAACAGAAAACTTACCTCCTTCTTAGCGCCCTTCCGGTTTCCCGCCTGTTAAATCCGCCGATGGCTCAGTGCCGGCCGACATACCAGGGGATGCTTCCGACAAATCCTTAACGCCCTCTCGATCTGACATTCCACCAACGGTATGCAAAACCTTTGCCCAACCGACGCTTTCTTACCTGATCTCCCAGAACGCGTCGTCCTACCCTTCTGGAGCATCTCCCGATGGCTCAGTGCCAACCGAGCTCCCCAGGGAATACGTAGGATCTCTTTCCCAATTGCCCGACTTCCCCTCGACCAGCGCAGCGGATGGCGCGACACTGACGGATATCCCACAAAACGGAACTATGCCAACTGGATCTGGTAACGCTCCGCCTTCATTCTCTCAAGGTGGTACTCCACCAGTGGTATGCATGCATGTTTTTGTAAACTCCGATACTTCTCAACTCTGTAATTTAGTGCCCATCTTTCTTGCCTTCCGCTGCGCCCAGTGATGGTGCGGTACCCAGTGACTTACCAGCATACGACTTTTCTTCCGGGTCGCTTCCACGAGGGGTAAAGAAGGCTTTTATTTTCTGAAAATGATTCTTACACATATCTTTAGTGCCCAACCGCCTTTCCCTCCTCTGCCTTCCCCTCTTGGGGCCCAGCTCCAACTGATGTTGCATAGTTTTCATTCCTTCTATGGACATTGTGGACACATTGGACAATATGGACGTATTTGTGTTTACGATTTTGACAAGTTGTATGATGAATCACTGTATCCTTACCTCACATACTGTACCTTTGGACGCTCTCTTTGTATACTATACAGATGTACTCGTACCGGTTGTATTTCATCGAGAATATTTTTTTCGGCGGCGTGGTTCATGCTATATCACTGGAGCTTTCAAGTTTGTGCACTTGCTGAAATTCCGAATTCAGGAATCAATTAGCTATATATGCCCATCCCGCCCTACGTTACCAGGTGTCCAGGGTGATGTCGGCGAAACTGTCGACCTGAACTGTGACACGTAGAATCATCCTGCGGCTGCCATCAGTACAGATAACCCTGCATTTTTGAATACACATCTTCACGTCGCTCGGGGTGATCAACAACGTTGGGGCTTGGCATAAGGGAGTTTGGTGAAAAGGGCTGAATAACTGTCTTCGGGAAGGTAATCACCAGCTACACTGCTTGGCTACATCTGGCTACATGCGCTTGAAACGGACTTCCGCAACCGCTCCCGATGTTATTTCTCAAGGTGTGGTGCAAGGAGTCTTCGTTATCATTATGGCTCTTGGCGGAAGTTCGGATGAGGACCTGGATGAATCTAATCAGATTGAAAATTTTGTCTAATCAGATTAGATTCGATCCACGTTGTCATGTGCTGACTGTTTGTCCTGCATCATTTTACTCCAAACTCAGGCTCAACAAGCTCCTTCCACGGATTCACGGCGCTATCTCGTACGTTTATGCTTTCATGCACTGGGGAAACTCAGAAGCTGGTCTGTAAACGAAATCGGAACATTCTCGTACAACATTCATCGTCTCTTCGAGTGTTGAACTTGGACTCGGAAGGTTGAAGAGGCAAACACGGCGAACGCCTGCTTTTACCATCGACATAATGAACGCGACGGACCATATGGAGGTTAAAATTTGTGCCTTTATTCGAACGCTTTTCAGTGTGATCGTCGCCCAAATGCTCTCAGGAAAAAGGGGATTCTTCTCTCGATCACCTTCCAAGTGGCGGATCTGAACACCTGAACACACCGTAGCGGTAAGCGGCTGATTAAAATCCCACAGTTGGTATTCCCTGTCTCTTTGCAATGGCTATCTCGTTACCTGATAGATGAGGGTGTTTATCGGCGGGTGCCCTTGCCTCTGACGTCGTCGAGAATTCATCCAAAATATGAAATATCCCATTTCTTCTACACCATACACCGAAATCGGGATCATCTCTCCTTGCTCGCGAGATTATGCGCATCTGGATCGGTGAATACGTGGACTAATTGTTCATTTGTCAGACTCATCGGAGGCCTAACATATTGCCATTGGGGACAGCTTTCTGGTTCACGACGTGTGAGGAAATTTATTTTTTGCATATTTCCTATCTCGATATCACTTCCAACAGTACGTGCTAAATGGACTTCCTAATGGCGCAATCGCTGTGGAAACGGAACTTCGTCACGGTTTTCGAATAAAAGGACGACTGGATAACTAGTCCCCAAACCTTGGAACCATCATGGCTCTCGAAAGTACTCCGCCAGCTCAATCATCAACTAAATCCTCCAGCGCCGATCTGCGTCGTGCCAGGAAGCAGATACAACTAGCGCACGTCAAGCAACTTTGGATCTTCCTTGCCAGCGTGATTGCTTTTTTCACAATCCTCCGAGTTTTACGCCTCATCCTCCGCTTCTTCCTTGTCTCTCGTCCCGCCAACCGCGTGGAGCTTGTGGTGTCGGAGAAGGAGGATTTGGAATCCACGTCAACGACCGTGCGCCGTATCAACTCCCCAATCTCGCGTCTCTACGGTGCTGTCGCTACAGGATTCAGAATCGCCGCCTTTCGTTGGAGTCTTCCAATCGGACCAGGTTCTGTTGCATCAATCTCCGAGTTGACTTTTATCTTCATTTACATCGCGGCCAATTTTCTTTGGCTTTTCTTGAATAGTATGCCCCCTCCCTTATGGATCAAATATTTCCTAACTTATTTCCTTTAGCTAACAATCTGGACTGTGCGTTTTATCAAGACAGGGCCGTCCTCCTCGCTTGCTGTCATCTCCCGCTCATCGTCGCATTGGCAGGCAAGAATAACCTAATTTCTTGTGCGTAACACTCCTTACACAGAGCTCCGCGCAATATCACTCAAGCGTTCGATAGGGATGACGGGCATCAGTCACGAGAAGCTGAATGTTCTGCATCGCGCTTCATCAAGGACCAATTTTATCTTCATATGGATCCATACATAGCCCGGCTAGTTCAGGGGTAACTCACCCATATTTTGACACGCAAACAACCTTACTCAGATGACTTTGAAAGGCTATCGAAGAAAAGTGATTTCAGTCATAACTGGATGCGCGCTGGAGCGCTTAGCTTGGTTGCGTTCACACTGGCGACGATTTTATCAATTCGACCCATCAGGAACATCGCGTTTGAATTTTTCCTCATCTCCCACATTGTCCTCATCGTGTCCGTCACATTTCGTCGTTTCCTGGCTATGTTCTGACAATACTTTTACAGGATTTTCCTAGTTGCGGGCTATTACCACGCCCAGATCGGAAAGTGCGTAGCCTCTTGACCTGGCAAATTTTTCCTACTATAGCATTTCGTCAACCAGCTATGGGTCCTACATCTGGCCTGCCCTCTTTGTTTGGGGCCTCGACCGCTTCATCCGACTCGCTCGTGTTATTTGGAACAACAGTACATTCAGTCGTAAACGCGACCCAACACAGTCTCTCGCCACTGTTGAGCTCCTGTCTGAAGATTCTATTCTCATGTCTCTCAAACGGCGCGACTTCTCTTGGTCCCCAGGCCAACATGCCTATGTCATTCTCCCCACCGTTAGCAACCTCCCGCTCGAATCCCACCCATTTACCATCGCCAGCATTGCCGACAAGGTTGACGGGACACAGCGCAACGGGGAGGACCGGGATGTGGTCTTTTTGGTGAAAGGCTGCAATGGATTCACAAAACGGCTCAGGGACCACGCGAGTACTCACGCCACGGGTACGGTCTCTGCGTATCTGGATGGCCCCTATGGATGCCCACCCGATTTGCGCATATTCTCCACTTGTATCTTCGTCGCAGGTCTGCGTCCCTTTTTCCACCTATGACTCTTGCGTCTAAATTAGTAATCATTAGGCGGCTCGGGCGTTTCATACACTCTCCCTCTTTTTTTGAATCTCATTCGGTTCGTCACAGTTCCTTCCTTCCTTCTCCCCGGAGGCTCACCCAACGGACAGCGAAAACGCACGAGGAGGCAGGTCGTCTGTTCGCCGGATTCTCTTTATATGGGCTCTTCGGGATGAAAGTTCGTATACATCTACTACTCTTAGTACATGATTGATTATCTTCTCACAGATTACCTACCGTGGTTCTCGAAAATATTGACTGAAGCTTTACCCCATGCCAAAAGCTCTTTATCCATCGATTCCCGTGTTTATCTCACTGCGCGGCCCATCGACACTAGTTCTTCTAGCGCATCAACCGTGTCGGAGAAGACTGATTTCGCTGTCAAAACCACAACTCTGCACTCGCCCGTCGACTATCACCCCTCCATCAAGCTAATCCCTGGCCGCCCTGATATTCGTCGTGTGCTCCACGATGAAATATCCGCATGCACCGATGGAGGGTCGTTATCAGTTGATGGTCAGTAGCTCTTAAAACATTTGAGGAGCAGTCAATTCACTGCCGCTTCCAAAAGTCGCTGGCCCTGCGGGTTTGACGGCAGCTGTGCGTCGCGCTCTTAGCTCCGATGCTGCTGGACCTCGAGCGGTTTTAAAAGGACTACCAGCCGTCACCCTTCACGTTGAAAAGTTTGGCATGTCTACCTAAATGGAACTGAATGAAGTACGACAAGTAACATTTCTCTTGTTTTCCACTATCTGCCATTTTTCGCATCGCTTTCAATGAATTCTGTAAACAAAGGCAGAGTAGACCTGCCACATCTCTCCTGTAGATCTTTTTTCTTGTATTCCTGTGGAATGATAATAAATATTAATTGAATAACATCGGGACACATATGCAACCAAGCACCATAGCCCTCCGCAACCAAGGAGTCGCGACCGCGCGCTGAACATCACCCACATAATGCAGCTTGAAGTTCGTCACGCACAGACACTCCGAGTCTACAACTAGTTTAGGCCTCGCTTTACCACTCGTCGCGTTGTTGCTTCAGATGGATAAAAAAAGAGTGGCACCAACTTGAAGCTCTAATCGATCTCACGTGTCGGCCTTGTTGACCCAAAGATACATGACCTGCCCTTGTCGCGGAGAACGTCCTTGGAACGTTCTCCCCAATGAAAGGTTTATATTAGCCGCATCCAGGCAGTTTACAGGGTGATATTTTGCGTGGTATTGTCCTCATGAATTATATGGGCCTTCGATTTCATTCTTGGCACCGATAAATTCGGCCTCCACTCGCCGAAGTCATGTCATTTCGGAAACATCGGATAGCTTTTGTATGACGACGAGAGGTGTGGGCAGGCCTGAGTAGGCTGAGTGTCTGCTGCTAAGTAGTACGCTGGCTCGAGCTCTTGACTTGTGTTGGCACTAAGATCGTTTAAGTAATCCCCTTTTTTTAAAGTTTTGGTGTGCATAACGCAACCCGCGACCGCTTCCCGGTGTTACTTTGACACGTTCGAGAATTGCCAAGGAGGGTCTCTGGTCGAATTAATCAATCTAATCAGATTAGGTTTACATATCAGATTAGATTCTGATCCATGTGTTACATAGGCAACCTGTTTGTTACAGCTTGTCCCTGAACCCCTGTGATCCAGACTTTCAACATTTCCTGCGACACAGCATCCTCCTCACACAGCTCGCAACGCAAGAGGTGTCAGATCCAGGGATCCCGTCGCAACGTTATCCGTTGCGGACTTAGCTCCGAGGGGATCCAGAAGTTGCTCTTTTTGCTAGAAATGCCCTGCCCCCATGCTCAGCCGATGACTCTCGATGTTTCCTGAATCTACAGGCGGGCAAGTACATGCTATGCTACCTCGCCGACAGAATGACGACTACCCAAGTATGTAAAGTCTGAGGTCTGTGCCTTCATTCAGGCTTTTTGAGGCTTTCAGCGTGATAACGTTCTGAAGAAGGAGAGTCTCTTTCGAATTTCCGATTACTTCCGACTTGCAGGACTAGAGAAGCAACTCGGAAGGCAGTCGACACTCGCGGCCTCTTCGCATGTTCAATGTTACTGACTATCAGTCACGGTGGATGAAGGGGTTTTCCCAACTACTCCTGTGTTTGACATGAGGAACTCTGTGCGGCAGTCACAGTCCGCACAAAAAATTGACTCGTATCTTGTGCCTTCTGCAGCTTGTCCCTGACAGGAAGGAATCAGGATCAATTTCTTCTTGATGATTTGCTTGCAAGGTCATTCTCGAGGCATTCAGGCATCTGCGTACCTGGAATGTAATGTTGTGTTGGAGTTCTTGACCAGCTCGTTCGGTTTCTCGTGGCATCGGATTCTTCGGACTCCCCAGTATCACCATTCAGGTCGCCGTTCTGGTTCCCAAGTAGCCAGGCAATGAATTTGGGGTTTACTTTCCACCCCGCTCTCATCCCCGAAAGGACATGGATGTCCCAATAGCGAATTCGTACGGAAACGGAACTTGGATGTTTGACTGAATAAAAGGATACCCGCACCCTGGATTTCCTATTCCAGCATTTTGCAATTGCCATGACTCCTCCATCGACTCAGCCTTCCGGAAACGATGACCGCCTTGCGAGAAAGCAGATTCAATTCGAGCACGTCAAGGATCTGTGGATTTTCCTCGCTAGCTTGCTCGCCTTCCTGACAGTCATCCGCGTTTTACGTTTGTTGTTTCGCCTTTTTATCCTTTCCCGTCGCGTCAACTGTGTGGAACCCTTGGGGCCCGAGAAACAGGATGTCGAATCCACCACTTCAACCATCAACACCTGTATAAACTCTCCTATCCATCGTCTTCAATCCGCAATTGCTACGACGTTCAGGATCGTCGCCTTTCGCTGGAGCATCCCATTTGGACCAGGTTCCTTCGCGTCAATCTCCGAGCTTACTTTCATTTTTGGCTACATGGCAGCGATGTTTCTCTGGCTTTTCTTGGACAGTACGTTTATCCCTCTTAACTTGATATTCTCCTGATTTCATTCCTTTGTTTAGCTCGCAATCTGAAAGCTACGTTTGACCAAGCCCGCGCCGCCCACCTGGCTTCGTGTCAACTTCCCCTCATCATCGCCTTGGCTGGAAAGAATAACCTCATCTCTTGTCGGTATCTCCCACTTATCTCCCCTTTTTATTTTTACCCACTCGCTTGGCAGGGATGACTGGTATCGGCCACGAGAAATTGAACATTCTGCATCGTGCTTCAGCAAGAACCAACTTCATTTTCTTATGGATCCACACCATAACTCGGACGCTGTCAGGGTATCTTCCCTTCATAATTTCAACTTGAGGGCGTCGCTGAAATTACTTCAACAGGATCTCTGGCAGGACTAGCTTCCGCCATAATTGGATGCGTGCTGGTGCGGTCGGGATGGCAGCGTTGACACTCGTGAACATCTTGTCGCTTCGCCCCCTCAGGAACATGGCATTCGAGTTTTTCCTCACCTCCCATATCGTCCTCGTCTTGTCTGTCAACTTTTTCGTAGTTCTCCACTTTATTTTCTGATTATATCATTCCAGGATCTTCCTCTTTGCAAGTTACTATCACGCTCAAATAGCCCTGTAAGCTGCCCGCTTACATGAACTAACCCTCCTGCTGAACCATTTCGTCAACCAGCGCGGGGTCATACATCTGGCCCGCCCTGTTTGTATGGGGCCTCGACCGCTTCATTCGACTTGTTCGTGTTATCTGGAACAACAGTACATTCCGTCGCAAGAGCGACCCATCCCAATCTCTCGCAACAGTAGAGCTCCTCTCCGAAGACACCATTATCATGTCTCTGAAACGTAGGGATTTCTCCTGGGCCCCAGGCCAACATGCCTACGTCATCCTCCCTACCGTTAGCAACCTCCCATTCGAAGCCCACCCATTCACCATGGCTAGCATCTCAGAGAAGCTGGATGGGACGCTTTCCAAAGGGCAGGACCGAGAAGTAGTCTTCTTTGTGAAAGGCTGTAATGGGCTTCCGAAACGGCTGAGGGTTCTCGCCAGGAACCACGGAGTGGACACAGTTCCTGCGTATGTTGACGGCCCATATGGATGTCCGCCTGACCTGTGCGAGTACGCGACTTGCATTTTAGTTGCAGGTTAGTCTCCCTTTCGTCAATCATGTTCTGCAAATCTGAATTGATACTGGACAGGTGGCTCGGGAATTTCATACACTATGTCTCGCTTTTCGAATCTGATTCGGTTTGTCGCCTTTAACTTCTTTGCCTCCAGCGCCTGCTCACCCGAAGGACATAGTGGAAACGCACGAGGCAAGTCAGCTGTTCGCCGGATTCTCTTTGTATGGGCTTTTCGAGATGAAAGTTGGTCCCAGCCTTTCAACGCCTGCCATTGCTAGTCTCAACTAACAGTGACCTTGCAGATTATCTCTCATGGCTCTCAAAAACAGTGACGGAAGCTCTACCACACGCAACGGGTTCCCTATCCATTGAACTCCGCATGTATCTCACTACCCCCTCCACTAAGAACAGTTCCTCAAATGCGTCAATCGTTTCGGAGAAGGGTGACCACTCTGCTGTCAAGACCACGACTGTGATGTCACCAACCGAATATCACCCCTCCCTCAAGGTGGTCCATGGCCGTCCTAATATCCGCCGTGTACTTCATGATGAAATAGCTGCGTGTACTGACGGAGGATCGATATCAGTAGATGGTCAGCACCCCTTTGACGACCCACAGATGAACCAACTGACGATTGCCCCCGACAGTTGCTGGACCAGCGAATTTGACGGCAGCTGTGCGGCGTGCCCTCTGCTCTGGTGTCGCTGCACCTCGAGCTGTGTAAAAAGGACTCCCGTCCGTCACTCTTCACGTTGAAACGTTTGGTATGTAAACTTAGAGGTCTTACGAAAACATGTAACGTTCCATTGTATTCCACCCACACATTTCCTGTCTCTTCTTCAACTTTGCGCTTCTGTAGACGAAGGCACGATAGAGCTGCCTGATCTCCCTTGTCAATAAAGTCTTTTAACGATCGCACAATGATTAGATGAAATTCAATGTCATTAACGTCCGTATCAAAGCCGAACAAGCATAACCGGTCTACATCACAGGTACTTACTATACCCCGCACTAAGAATTGAGCTCCCAGTCCCCACCATACCATGGCCAAGTGCATACGTAGCACCCGCATGCGCACTATACGTTGGAGGTCCAGGGCTTGCTACATATCCATACTCCCCACTGAACACCGGCGACGCGCTCTTCATCAACGCTGGGGGTCGATGGTCCCTCTTCAGCCCTCGGGTAGTCGTGGCAGTGACCCTGGAAACGGAGGGCACGGTTACCAGGCTACCCGGGCCCCTTTGCGCGTGTTGGGGCTGTTGCTTTGACTTGGAGCCCACGCGTGAGCCTGACCTCAGTCTGTGGCTGGTATTGTTGTCACCAACTAGAGGCGCTCGTGACGTGTTGCTGTGCACGAGGCCGTAGTTGACGTCTGGATGCGACTCGGAACCGTGTCTGGAGGACCGTGCGGGGTTGCGGAGAAGGTTGCCTACGTGTCTTGGGTCGGTTGTTTGACGGTAGTATGTGTATGCCATGATGAAGTAGATGACGGCGGGGATGAAGGCGAAGAGGAAGCAATTGGCGATTTGGGTCCAGGATTCGTTTATCCACGCTGAGATGCATTCTAGGTGGGAGTTAGTTTGTTGGATTTGGGTCGGAGATATGGAAAGTACCCACGTCTTTGAGCTTCTCTGCGTCCAATGGCGTAGATGGATCCGGGCCACGGTCGGCCTCGCTGTTGGTTGTTATTGTTATTTATATGGTAGGTCTAATATTGTAGGGACTAACGAAAGTTGATTTCTGGTAAGATTGTCCTCTGATAGCCAACGCGACACACTCGTACATCAGGTCCTCCTGTGCAACGGATTGTGAATGGGTAAACCTCGTCAGAAGTGAGCAGACATACGGCAAAGACAAAGTACGAGACTGCCTCCAAGACCCCGGCTACTGTGACAAAAACCGAGGCAAGAAGCGCAAAGCAGGTGTACAGCCGAATAAGGGGCAATCGTTTCTAAGGACGGGACAAGTTAAACATGGCATGGCATTAGAGGAATGTTGAGCTTACCGTTGATACGCTTATGACGCCAAAGATCTCAATGACAGTTGAAAGGATGTACATCACGCCCAGCGCGATGGAAATTGTAGCCAGCTGAGGAATATGTTCTACGAGGGGTGAGTATGTCTCGAATGCAATTATGTGTGGCAACGCACGGTTGTCGTCCACGCGAGCATCTTGTAGTGCATTATGCTAAGAAACATGAGGATTCTGACATAACAAGTTGGGGAATTGAACGCACAGCACTATCAAAAGGTCAGTTAACATCTTATCAGCAAAAAGGGTGGAACTCACGCCAACGCAAATCTCAGAGCGTTCAGACCAGCAACTGCATCGTTCGGCTTCAACACCAAGCAGAAGAAACGTGGATGGAAACGTACCAGCAATGATGATATTTCTCCAGTTCGCCTTGTAAAGCACAGCGAAGAAGGTTGTCTTCTTCTGCTTAGATTGACGAGGCAAGTACGGCACAGCCGCTAAAGCAATAACAGGTCAGTGTTGTTCGTCGTTGACAACGCCAGCGATCTACATACCTGGAGGCCCAAATCTATTGTCAATACCTGAAATTCTTATTTAACAGGGGTGCTACGGTAAGGACGAGTGGACTCACGTTTGAGATTGAGAGGGGGAGGCCGAATCATACTGGCTGGCAGTCGAACGAAGTGGTACCGGACAAGGAAAGGAAATCATCGTGGCGCTGCACATGTAGGCGGCGCCGGGCCGGTGATGGCACTCTGATGGCTGGGCACAGCCCGGGGCCCATGCGCAATCTAAATGATACTTAGTTTCAAAAGATATCCGTATTTTCAAAGTAATTCGACTCGGTTCAAACGGTCTCTTCGGGATCCTTCAGCTTGGATTTCTATGTCTTCGCCGAATGCTGTGTATGTTTTCAGGTCGTGAGGTGCTGCGCGTTGTTATGACCATTGTCGTTGGAAACAAACATGATCAAGCAGCTGACAGTGGAGCATTGCCGCCCTCCTTTCTCCCTCAAACGTCCACTTCTCCTTTTACTTTCCCTCCAACATCTATCTCACATCTAACGAATATCACGAAATATATCACAGCCAAGGATGGATAGCAGGCCTCCTCCTCCAGGTAAGCTCAAACGACCCTCGAATTCAAGTCCTATCTAATTACCGGCGCCAGGTATATATGATGGCAATCTAGACATTAGAACCCGACCCTCATAGCTTTATAGGCCCTCCGCCGAGATACAGAAGATTCTATCGCGGTAACTTACGACCCGTTGTACTATCTGGTGAGCGGCGCAGGAACCGTCAGTTCTCCAGAAGGCTCACATGTGTTCTAGTTGCGTTCGTAGCAGCACTTTGGAGCCTTTTCTCGTGCGTGCTACATCTTATTTCTTCCATGTCGATACTAATACGTCTTTATTTTTAGAGGCGTAAGTGTTTTTAGTTGCGTTGGAATGGCAAAATTCAAGACAGTGTAGATTGGCTACCTGCGAAACGCAAATGTCTTCTCAGGCCGTCTGTACCTTTCCCTATTCACGACTTCTTGTCTCACCTCTTCAACAGAAAACTCTAGCCTAGAAATTGCGACAATAGTTTTTGGTTCAGTTTATCTACTTATCGCTGCAATTGAGGTAAAGTTCCATACCCTTATTACCCCCCTTCCATTCAACTGATAAGTCTGATAGGCATTTGGTGTGTTCGCTGCTGCATCTGTACGTTGCTCCACATTACAACTGCACGTCACTGATGGGGCAACTCATCTCCACAGCAACGTCTTGTTCCAGTTCGGATTTTTGCCTTCGGCTCTGCGCTAGTCGCCATCCTCGTCATAGGGTTAGGCCTCAGCCAGGTCGTTATCCATTTTACCATGAAGACCGCTATCATAAATGTCTGCACCACCGCAAACGAAGGAGACACTTTTGTCTACGTGCGCTTACTATATTCTCCTGGTGCTCATGTGCTGATTAGTGCTCCCAGACGGGATTCTGGGGTCCAGTATATAGCGACACTCTCTCCACGGCTGATGCGCGGAGCTGTAAGTTCTGTCCCTCCCAATCTTTCATCAGCTCTAATATCTCTTACCAGGGTGTACCGACTCATGGAATCACGGCTCCTGGTCAAACATCATCTCTTTCCTAGCAACATCAGGTAATTCTCTCTTAGATTCCTTCACACCTCATCTACTAACCGCCACCTACAGTCCTTGCGGTCCTGTTCACCGGCGTTGCATTCGCTTACCACCGGCAGCTCCTCGACCCTACAAGCCCCGCCAACGCATCCCGTGCACCCTCAAGTCAAGTCCGCATGGGTGCCTTCCCCTCTCACTATAATCCGCCATATAATGCCGCCGTTGCCCCTACGTTACCGTACACCACCTACCCACAGTACCCAGCCCCCGCTGGCCCACCTCCTGGCCACGAGGAGGATGATGATGCTTTCGTGCCGCCGTATGATGGGAAGCCACCCCGGTACAGTGGAGGGAAGTGGGATTATCCAGCGAAGGATCTTAAAGATCCTTTTGCTGATGGTGACGATGCGGTTGAGAGGGATGTTACTAGTCGACCAGCGCCTGGGGGGAGGGAGACTTTTGGTTGATTGGGTGGATTGTCCATGCTTTTTCTTTGGATCTTTCTCGTTGAGCGTTCGTGCTATGTATCTCATCTCATCTCCGGACTTGTATTGCTTTGCTTTGAAAGGCGTTTGGTTGCCACAGGATTCGGATGATAATGTGTATTCTCTTATCCTTGATGTACAACAGCAGTGCTATGGAATTGATGTTTGTTGAATCTTTTCTTTACCAAGTAAACGGCGTAGACGCTAACCTCGCGTATGGATCCAACTCATTTCGACACCCTCATCATGAAGGTCCTCGTTGGTTAATCATCTCGATAATACGTACGCCTCCCAATCTCAATCTTCCGAAGAGGGGGACACTGGCTCCAGATCAAGTGACCATACACTTGCCACGCCTCCCACTCCGGCGCGTTTGAGTTATAATCCGCTTCACTTATCTTCACTTCCTCCACACAAGGAAGCAGCATGATCCACGCTATCAGTTTCTCCTGTGTCTTGGGCGACCAGCTAGGACAATTATACCGGACCGCCAGTTTCTTGACGCACTTCAAGTTCCGCACGGCCTCGTTAAAAGGCTCCAAAGCGGAAGTGGTCAACCATTCTTCTAACCCTTCCTCATATCGGAGGTGGAGACACAGTTCCTGCGGACCAGGTGAACTGCGCAGGGATAGGTTACGAATGAATTCGTTGACCTGGTCTTGTTGAAACCCCGGCCACCTGATACTTACGCTGGATTCTTGAGTGAGCCGTACTGACTCTAGCAATGGGTAATCATCTTTATCCTTCAATAACGGGGCGAGGTACTCTGCTGCCCCTTCAAGTTTTGTTAGGCAAGGAAGGAATGGGATGGACGAGGCGGGGAGCTCCACGCGCCCGATACAGAAACTGTTCGACAGGACGAGTTTGGTGATTGAAGGGTGGCGTTGTAGGAAAGTGAACATGTCAGGAAATGCAATGCCCGATTCACCAAGTGTGAACTGTGTTAGACCAGGGATAGTTATACATGGGAGAATCTGGAACCAATCGTAGAGGTTGAGGCCGGTGTTCCCAAATGACAGTTGAGTGATTGGGGCGGTGTTGAGTAGTTCGAGGGTTGTGGTGTACCAAGATGAGCGAAAGAAGATCCGAGAGTTGATTTCGATCCCTGAGAGTTTGGGATCGTGTACCTTCAAGAGGGGATTGGTTGTTTCATAGTTCGCCACCGACGTTATGGAGGGTGAGATTATGACTACGAAGGGCTGAGCTTTGGCGGGTTGAGGTGGATCCTCTACTGTGGGTTCTTCCGACTTCTCCGGTATTTTAGAGGTTCCAAAATTCGGAAAAATTGGACTGAGTAACTCCCAAAATCTCTTGAGGTAGTCCGTTTTTTCTGTGCGTAGATTTCGCCTTATGTTACGCCTCCGGGGGGCAGGAGGGGCGATTGTAGATTCAGGAGAGGGTGTAACTTCGTATTTAAACGGGCCTCCCTCGCCGTCCCACACCATAGGTTGGCCATTGACGGACAGAGAAAGCCCTTCCTTTTCGACGCAAACATTGAAAAGTGACGAAAAAACCTCAATTCCTCCTTCTGGAATAGGCCCCATGATAGTCTGTTCGTACATGGACATCTCCAACGCCAGTTTGACGTAACGCACTTGAGATGCACGCGCGATTAGCCCATGCAAACAACGGAGATCCTTTGCAACTGTGTGCGTGATGTTGTACGATATGGAGTTCAATGGTGACCCATAAATGTCCATATCTAGCTGCTCTGATCGAAGCCGACAGAGTTGCTCCGTTTTATATATTTCAATTTTGTTGTTCCTAGCGAGATTGCGAAGATGGTTGAGCTGTTTTTGGAGAATGGTATAGATGAGGATAGCGAATAGCCGCCGACAGGACAAGGCTAGATTCTGAATCGTGTCATCTTCAAGCGGGGACCCTTCGTGATAACCAAGTATCTCGAGTATGAGCTCATTGGGAAGATGCAGGAGAGACGACGGCATGGGGATTATCGTTTGAGACGCTTGCTAACTGGGTGTACCAACGAGCGCTTCGACTCGGAGTCGCCGCACAGCATCAAGGCATCGCGTGCCAGGGGCACGATACATGACATAATCACATGATATCCCTTTCATCGCCAATAATGATACTGCAAATTTGCCGCCATTTAGCTGCCAATTGATTGAGATGCGAAAGTGTCCTTACTTGCTTATCCGAGAGTGTATTCCGCCTGATTACACTGGGCAATAAAAGCCGGCGCGTATGAGGGTGAAATTGCAGCTCAAGTTGCAGTATGGGATAGGATCCCAAGGTTCAAAAAGTCTGACCACTGGCTCCGATCTCGAGAGGGGAAACGCGATGGATTCAGACTCCTTCCATCGGTAGCGTTCGACAAGATAAGGGCAGTGAAAAACCATCCCTTCGCAAAAATGACTTCTCCCCTGAGATAAATACGGTCGATAAGCCACAAGAACGTAATTGCACTCGATAGGTCCGGTGTTGGTCTAGGAAGCAAAAGGATTGCTGTAACAGTTGCAGCAATGTAGAGGCGATACAATTCATGGAGATGTCCAGAACGATTGTGTTGAAATGTAGTATGAGAGGGGTAGGGGAATCTTCTGGCTCCAGTTATACAGCTTGACGAACGCTGTGACTGCGGAGAGGGTAGTACTGGGGCCTGAAATTGAAGACGACTTAGAGGTGACTTTCAATCTTCTTGGGCCTTTCAAATAAAATGTCAGGATCACCGTTTTGCCGATCAACTACGGTCATCCACGACGATCCAGGACCAAGGAAGCCCCGAGAATAGCAAGGCGTGATATCTTCTGTATCCTTACTAGTACCAGTGCTGGTCGTTGTTATCATCGGCTCTGGGAGAAAAATGCGGTCCACTCCATGGCAAAGCCCGAAAAGCGATAAGATGAAACGAATCACGATCCTTCAGACACCGTCCAAATGTCGAGCTGCGCTTTCCAGAAGACAATGACCCTGTTAGTTCTTAATCAAAGGAAGGAGAAGATTCATCACGCACGAGAAGATTGCAAGCTGCCGTAGGGTTGAACATGAAAAAGTCATTTAAGGACCAGATGGACGCCGATAGCGAGTCGTGTATGTGAAAATGTGGGCAGTTCGTAGCAGATTTCGTAGGGGAATGCATACTGAACCCAAAATTTGGATCGTTAGAAATTGAGGGCCTATCGATACTGGCGCAGTGCTCGATGGTGACAGTAGCTGTAGGGATTGAGATGTTTGAAAGTTGTTAATTAGGAAGGGACTTTCGGCATTGCTGGTCGGGGTCAGTCGGACCTTGAATTTGAGTATAGATCAACCATTTCAAGCAACGCGCATTTCACCCTCAGCCAATAGGAATCTAGGAGATCTTGAACTCGGAGAAGCCTGCCAAAAAAAACGAATCAACCCTTCAAAGTAGAACCTTTTCGCCTCTTGCTATTTTGTTCCGGACCATCGCTCTCTTCGAATTTGATATCAACTGCTATCTGGAAGCGACTCGTGGCCCTATCTGCCTTCTCACTTCGCGTCAACTCGGCGAACTGCGCGTATCTGGGGTGCTCAATCTCTGGTATTCGCGAAATATTTGGCAGATGCAATCTCCCAACAGCGTCAGCTTGTGCTATTTAAATACGCTTTGAGCACACTGCAAGGGATCGGTCTTGTCGCCAGTTATGGTTATATAGCCGTCGCCGAACACAGTCAGTCATATCCCAATGCTTCCCGGAGGCGTTCAATTAGTTTTATAATTGTTCTAGAAGACGGCTCTCCTCCTTTCATCATCACGTCGGCAACAACACAATGCCTTGTCAGCTCAAACTTATGGTACATACTGTTGACTCTTTAAGACTCCAAGCCACCGCGCCTAAATTTATTTATCACCTCGAACAATTGAAGTTGTCTTCGCGAGGACGCGCCGACGGGAATTTTGCAATTTTGCCTTGAAGGGGTCTGAGGATAAATCTCAGGTGTTTGAAAGTTTCAAACCGAAGGATGAACATGTCCAGCAGTCAGCTAGGTCGTCACCTGGACATAATAATCCACGCGGTGAGTAAGTATTGGTCTTGAACTGGCAGAAGACCAACAGAAGACTGTTGGTTGGACCTTACACCGCGGATTGACACGTATGATTGTTCTGTTGACCAGAATCTTCTCATCCCAGGCTTTCCGCCAGACGCTGCATCGGGGTCCACAATTTGAAGAGCGCCGAGCTATGAATGGACGGACGCCGTAGGCACACAATGGGAGGGGGTTGATGTGGAGTAGTGATATTCATACTTGTACCAGGGAAGACAAAAGGCTAAAGATTGAAATGTCAAGCGCTGAACGTTGGATTCCTGCTTTTCAGAGCCAGCAAAAAGCAAGAGACAGGGTTGGAAGAACGCTTCAAGCCCTGTCCGTAGGCATGTAGCCCAGGAGCATCCGAGTGGCATATTGACCTCCTCAGTCATTGTTTTGAGTGTCGGAATACATGCGCATGGACGTAAAAAAGCATCATAATCGGGCCCTAACCAAGATATCTACTTCCGTGCAGTGGCGGTCTTCTGTTGCGACTTGATCACCTTCTTCACGATCTTTGCCTCTTCGACTAGGAACGCCCTCAGAATGCTACCAAGACGAGGCCTCTCAGAGTGTGGTATGGATAATCGAGGCTGAAGACTCACCGTGACTTGACGCAAGACCCGCACCTCGAACCGCCATACGCACGCTGCACGGTCTTCTGACGCTTGGAGATGGTGGCGTATTGACGTGGGCGGAGGGCGGGGATCTAAGGATAAATATTATATTTTAAATCCGGGCAGAGATCTGAGGGAAACGTACACCAGGGAGGCCAACACCACAGTCACCGCACTTGGGTGCGGTTGCGAGTTTTTTGAGATGGTGGTAGACAAGCTTTCCTCCGGGTGTCTTGACCACACGTCTGCGATTGGAAGTGGTGTTGTAGGGCTGGCGTTTCCTGAGAGTGACACGTTGGGCCATTGCTAGAGCTAGAGGACCATTATCAGTCTAGATTCCCCAAAGAATGACCTCCAAAAGGCGGCTCTGGCTCATAGATTGTCGTTCCAGCCGTTCCAGCATGCAATGCCCTCCACAGCTCATCTCCCAACAAAAAAACGTTCCCTCCCCCCACAAATCTAGACAAAGTCCCAACAATCGGAGAGCCACAAGAACCGCCGTTTGAGCCAAAATTTCGACTCACATTGACCGGTTGAATGTTAGTCTGTAAGAGCGCAGATTAGCCATAATATTCGACCAAATTTCAGGAATTTCATACCTAGTCTTGAGGATGTCGATGCCGATGGCGAGAACTATTGCAGTACAACGTGTGGCTGAGAAAAACTGTGCAGTACTTCGGCAAATGCCGTAGTCACATGTTACCACTATCAGGTGACCTTGACGCGACTTGTGTTTGTACCAACTTTGTACCAGTGGACGTTCGATCTGATCATCATCTAACTCTCACCTGTGACGCTGATCTCTGGTGACTCGGGACTGTCGGATGTCTGAGCATTCACTACCACAGGGTAGCGAACAAACTCGTTTTTTTTTCCGACCTGTTTAGCCCAGCTTTTCTCCGACTGGGTGATGGTCCTGACTCTCAACGTTTTTGTTTTCTGGGCTCTCTTTGCCTGAGTCGCTCTTGAAAATTTGCTTCTTTGCGAAACGCCGGAAGAACTGCGGATTTACTAGCGCATGGTTATTTTCACAGCTTTTTAGCTTCCCGATGCAGCCGAATCTATCATTTGTCGTGGAAGAGCTGCGGAGCCATCTTGACCAACGTTCAAAGGGGTTGTTAACGAACGGCGAAGGGACCCACTGTGCTAGGATGATGTTCGACTTAGCGGGATTTTGTCTCGCCGTCTTGTATTGAATTGATTGGTCTGGTCAGGTTAGTCGTCTACCAAGAAAGCAATGTTGAAAGACGGGGAATTCATGCATTTCAAAGATCCACTTGAGATTTATCCGCAGCGCCCACGCATACGCTAGATAACCATCCCTGCAGTTGCTCGTCCTCCGATTGAGCGTGAGGTGAGCCCAGTCGGGAAAAACAATACCTCGCACTCAACGACAATCTCCGGGCTATCCGGAAATACCCACCATCCGGGCAGGTTCCTATTGGTCAAAGAGAGCCAAGTTGCCTTGTTCTCGATTTATTCAGAAAGGTGAACGATGGGACTTCACCGCCAGTTCATCTGCCGCAGATGGATCTGTTTGCCTCTTGAGCAAGACTTAGGGTTGGTAGAGATGCAACCCCCTTTCAAAAAGGATTGACGATCATGATCGATCACTAGAAGCTGCTTCCGTCGGTAGTTTGTTCCACGTTTTTTACTCTCTAAAGCCAGCCAGTAGAAGCAGGTAGCGGTATTACCTGAAGAGATGCAATAGAAGCAAGCAATCAAACTGGCGCTGACCAGTTGAATGGCTTCATGACTCTGAGTGTACACATTACCGATCTCTCGATATATGTTCAGTTCCCCAACGACCCCAAAAGGCCCGCTTCATAAAACGACTTTAAGAATTGTCCGCGATGAACTGGGTGACTTTCCGTAACACAAATTCTCTAGATTTGAATAAATCGACGAAATCTAGGGTCCTTTGCCGGGATGCCGAGTCTTGTAAGGGTTCGACTCTGATGGAGTCCCTGGTTGGAACCCAGTTACAAACCTTAATCTATTCAGAGGGTACAGACCCCTCGAACAGATTTCAAACGCTGGAATCAACCCTGCCAAGGGGACACCTTTCCTTCCTGGGTACGATTCCTTCCCACATGGCTTAGTCAGCTCTACCTCATCCCCTACTACTCTCCTACGGCTGGGGCATTCTGCTCCCTCTCGTTGCAGTTCAAAGCCACTACAGAGTCTATTAGAAGTGTCAATGTCTTATGGCTACAAAATCCCCTCCCGGAAACCGTTGCTCCCTTTACAAACACCCTTCTTGACACCTAACTCACTGATCCACAGCCATGTTCAGCTCAACTTGGGATTTTTTGGGCTTCACCCAGCGTGTGGTCTAATTTTACAGCGGGGTGGATGAACAATCAGTATAATAAACCCATCCACGGGCCTACACGACCTCAGAGCAGCTCAGATGGGAGGGAAGTGAGTTTGTACAAGGCAAGCAAATACATCAAATAGAATCTAATCAGTTGGCGTTACGGTTTATTCACTCCAATAAACTCTCCTGTGAAGTTCTCGTTTCAAACTCCGATAAGGGTCAAATTTATTCATTTTTATAGATTTGAGTTACGGAAAGTCACCCACTGTTTTGAGGACAAAGACCTGGTCGGTTACACGGGTTTTTAAAGTTAAATTAGTGCCTATTTCTTGACAATCAAAATCTAGAAAAAAATGACATTCCACGCACCGGGTAAAAAAAAATTTCATCCGGGTATGTAGCAACTCCGGAGATTAAGGAACTACTGGCAGTCGTGGTTTTTATTTCGCGCAGCAGAAAGACTCTTTATTTGTAGACGAGGATCACCGAGAGAGTGTTTATCGTAGTCCAGGAAAACATGATTGGCGCCTAGAATCATCAAATTGGGATAAATCAAAAACATATATCTGGCATAGTCAATTCAGGTTCAGCGGCGTCCGATGGACTAGGTCAGCCCACCGTACCATGGTTTAGGCGGAAGGCGCGCAGTCGCACGTCATAGTCCATTAGTGGTTTCCAGAACCCCAATCGCGAAGAAGGAAGAGTTCCTAAAAATCTTGGTTTGCCATCAAGTGTTCAGCATTTCATTACACTTCATTAACGAAGCAGATTGAATGGACAATCTGTCACCCCAACTCATGTTGAATACACCGCGTATCAACGCCGACGCAGTGGGAACAATTGCACCGACACATAGGCGCAACCCCGCGAGAGGAACAGGCCTAGTCAGATAGACTTTGCACCTGACAAGTGCGTCGACAAAACGGGATCGATTTCTATATCTGGTGTCCTCCGTTGAACATAGGGAGGAACTTGAATCAAGAAGCGAAAATCTGGGGTGGGTTTTCGTCGGGAGAAGGTGCAGCATGGAAGCGGTGAGGAACCAGGAGAACAGCAGTCAGTCACCAGTCAACGTTCAACTGTCAAATGACCAAGGAACCCTACAAGGATAGTCAGCGGTGTGAACGAGAAAACAAAAAAGTTTCAATCGAGGCCATATTCTACTTGGAGGTTAGAATTAGCGTAATCTGCAAAAATACCTCGAAATTATGGAACCCTTACGCCTTGTTTACTGTTCTGCGACTTTGTAGAAGTGATGGTGGATCGAAAGAAGTTCAAGTTGAGAGGAGACCTGACAGGGGCATGACCGTTACATAAGCACCGTCATCAACAGCGAGCTCACAGTGTTTGCCATCATCATCATTAACCATGGCGGCCAAAAAGAAGTCAAAGGCGAGCAAGCCTCCCTCAAATTTAACAGCGACGGAGCCATCCAAAGACGAGGGCTTCGGCATGCTTTCTGTCGACTCGAACCTGCCAATGACCTCCTACATCTCCGTCGTCGGGGTACACACGACACTCCTCGCGTTCACGGCTGTCTTTCTTCCTAGAACGACATTTCTAGGTGACCTTGATAGCCCCGTTGAGCTCACTTCACGGGACAAGCCCCAACACCCATTCCTCAATGCATTGACTGACAACCCTACGTCCACATTGGCGTGTCTATGTATTGGGAGTATGTTTGTGCAAGGGTGGTGGGGAGGCTGGATGAGGCATTGGTGGGTAGACGCTACTACAACTGGGACGAAAGAAGAAAGAAAAAGAGAGAAGTCCATTCTGGAATCGGGGAAGCTGAAGGTGAGTGCTCTCTCTCACGACGGGAATAGAAGATTGAAGCCGTGTTGAAGGTCATGGCAGTAGCTTGCGCAACGACAATTGTCGCTTCATTTGCCCTCCATGGGGTTCTAGTCCTATTTGGGGCACCAATTACCAGGTGAGTGGTACACGCGACAAGTTATCTCTCAAGAAGCTAAACCTGTCTTTAGCTTTATCTTTAAAACTTATCTCCTAGCTCTTCTTGTATCCGTCTTGGTGGTCTTTCCACCCGCGTACATCTTCGGGGCACCTTTGCCTGGGAATGAAACAAAAGCGGTGGTTGTAAGGTGGACATGGGTTAGGCTATTCGCCGAATTTTCGTACGTCCTTTTGTCTCTCTCTAAAAATGTTACACGGCTGATTGATTGCTAGCACCCGAAATGCTGTAGAGCGTGCAGTTGTTTACCCCGTTATCGGAACAATGGTGGGCTGTTGGACCGGGGTTATCCCTATCGCCCTTGACTGGGATCGTCCGTGGCAAGTAGGTCGCGATGTCTGATCTTTTATTCGGCCCACCTGAAACTTGAGCTTGACAAGGCATGGCCCTTGACCCCCGCTTTTGGCGCCCTAGGAGGGTATATTCTCGCGTCAATCACGGCGCTCACAGTCAACGCGATAAAGTATCTCGAACATCAACGCATGTTGTCTCCGCAGGCCAACTACCAAAAGACCAAATGAGTTCGAGTCTATCCGTAGATCTATATCCCAAGTCTATTTAGGTTTAACTTCCTGGTATCATCTATATCTGTTCTCTGGCCGCTGACATAGCTCCACAGTCCTACGGCGCTTTTAATTTGTCGACGGCGCGGAAATCTCCCAGAGCTTGTGTGACAAAGTCCGGGACAATGGGAGATGCATAAGGGCCGGTAATGTCGGCTTCTTCGGTTATGCCTGAGGGTGAATGTAAGCTGCTAAACTAGGCTTACGATACGACGCATAGCACACCTGTGAGGACGAGCAGTGTGGACAGGCCACCATTCTGGCCGAATAATATGTCGGTGTTCAGTCGATCGCCAATCATAATAGTGCGCTCTGTGTCGAAGTTTATCCTGACGTTTTGTGAGTGAAAGATTTGAGGCTAGGGTTCCGCAACGTACTTTGCTTTGACACAATCTAACATAGTGTTTGATGGCTTTCCAGTACAAATAGGGGCCCGACCTGCGGCGTATCGAAGAGGAGCACTAATTGACCCAGCCCCCGGCAAAAGCCCATCTGCACCTGGGTAGGTACTATCTTCGTTGGTCGCGATGAAGTGGCAGCCAGGGTTGCGAGTCAGGTACTGGAAAGCCTTGGACAGCTTCGTATAATTAATCTGGGTGTCGAGCCCGCAAACAACTGCAGCGACATCGGGATCAAGTGTAAAGTTGGCCAGCGAAAATGTTTCGAGCGTGTTGTCCGCAGGATCCTAGAGGTAAAACGATAGCATCAGAAAATTTCGCGAAGTCGAGGAGATTGGTAGGCACAGTTCCACCGAGATATGAGATACCCTCATCTCGAAGCTCTTCCTCCAGGCCGCCCATGCCAATCACATACACCTTCTTTGTTTTTGGCAGTTTGATGACAGAGGACAGGTATACCGCTGACGCGTACGCCGATCCGAAGATCTCATCCTGGCGACGAAGATCAGCATGGAATAATGCTGCTACCTAACCTGACACTCACCACATGTGCTTCGACTCCCAGCTGATCAAATTTAGTTTTGTAGCTCTTTCTAGATTTCGTGGCGTTGTTGGTGACAAAAACCACTTGCTTCTCTGTCGATGTACAAGAAGAATGGAAGAAATGGTCAGCTTCATTGGGTTGGAGAGATTTGAATGTCACATACTGAGACATCGCAGCATATGCAGGACTTCAACCACGCCATCAATCAGCTCATCGCCGCGCCACAGAACACCATCGCAATCGAATAACCATGTATCGAACTTGTCCAACAACGTCTTATAGTCCTCAGGGGTCGAAAGATGGACGCTCATATTGGTCGACGACTCGAGAAGTGACAGGAAGTGCGAAGAAAGATGCGTAAACTCCTCTTCCTGGTTATTACCCGGGTTTTCTTTCTTCACAGATGTGTTTCGGACGACAGATACGCCGCACGATGTTCGCTAGATGCGTGGTCCGACGATGGGCCACCTTCTGGTATCGATGGTCACGTGGACGATGCCCAGAAACGGCAGCTCCAAATACAATGCTTCGAAATAAACTCTGCATGCTACGTCTAGCGAGTAAAGAAGAAGTCTGTCATATAATGTCTTTCACGCATATTTGGTTCTTGAAGAAACCATTCTTTTCTTTAGATTCCGAGTCAAATTCTCTCAAGTCAAGGGTCATACGGTCCGGGAACACCGCAACTGCGGTACTTATCCGATACAGCCGACTTTGGCATCCCTCAATTTCAGGCAAACCCCATTCGCGATATCAGGAATAGGACCAGCTTTCTCACATTTTTTTTGCTAGCGAAAGAATACATCGTGACAATTTTTAGGTTGTTAACCGTGTCAACGATCTCTGAGCGGGTAGAATGTCCCGGAATATGGCCATCATCACTCGCTGAACGTGTAATCGGATATCGGGCTGTGAGCGCTCGCACATATCAGTATTTAGGCGTCGAAATCAAGGAGAAGCTTATCTTTGTCTGGCCCCAAGCTGGTGGCCTTCAACTCTGTTTAAAAACAAACCAAGGCTTGCGTAACCAATCGCTTATCTCATTCCAAAGCTACTCCGAGATCCAAGTATGTATGACAATCCTCAAAGACCCTGCAGTGACAGCTTGATGACGCCAGCGCTATTCACATGGGGTTATCCATGATAACTTCTGCAATGCAGGCCAGCCTCGTGTAGGGCGGGAAGCAGATCCGACCCTCCTGCGTCCTGACAATACCTACTGGAGCTTGACAGCTTTCTTGATTAATCGAAGATCCTAGTGCGACTCGATCAGCTTTTGCCCGATGTACGCATCATTGGGCCTCCTGGAACGTTCGTCTCAACATCCTTGAAAAGCCTTCTTTTTCTAACACGCGGCTGTACGAAGATCTGATTTCCGCTCTAAGAACATGGGATTTTGATTTTTTTTTCATTACCTTTCCGTGAGTTCATCGCGTGGTCAAATTTGCTGGGCCTCAAAATATGGACACGCATCATTGGTCAGACGAACCAAATCGCTTTATCAGAGGTTTGTTGCAAGCAGCGGACGTGGTGTGGAGTTGTTCTCCGTCATTTGGACAACCTCAAGGTCGAGTGGCCCGATAATCGGTTTCAAAAAGCGACCGAGGTGTGTTCACAAACCATGCTGCATGATCGTACAGATTTTTCTACAGAAGAAATTAACGGCGCAAATTACTATCCTAAAGTGGATGCTCTAGGTCTGGAGGCAACTAAAAGACCTTGTCTGAATCCCTAAAGTCAGTGCCTAGAATGCACTCCATGATCGCAAGCAGCTCTTCCCTTGCTGGATCTTTTGCGACGTTCCTAGTCTCAAGAACCTTATCAAGGCTAGGCGGTGTGCCTGTCTTCTTCTCCTTCGGCTTGGGATATAGTTCCTTCAGTTTCATGGTTCCCACCTTGAACTGCCTGTCGACCTCCGAAACTACAGCGGCTTCGATTTTTTTCATCTCCTCCTTGAGTTCCTTCAAACCTCCATCCAGGATGTCCTTGATCAAGTTCCGTGAGTCCGGTGATAGGAGCTTTAAAAATCCGCCCTCAACGGTCAGGAAATTTGTCGGATATTGCGCCTGCCCCGCCCTTAGCAAGACGGATGACGAGGCTTCACCCCAGCTGGTGGGAACTGTACTCCATCGCAATCTATCGACCTGGTATTCTGATACACACACGGCGTCAAAGTCGCCAAGTAGACCCATTTCTGTGAACTGGACACGGGTCAAATCAGTCTCTAACACGTTTTGCATGCGCTTGTAAAACGCACTTTCCGGAAATCAGTACCGATGAGCTTGGTCTTGATCTCGTTGAGTCTGAAATACGCCAGGATAGTTTGGATGGCCTCGATTCCAGGGTGAAATTCGAGGTCAACGTGCGCGGCATTCCGACGCCGTTCATTCCAATTAAGCAACTATTTCACGTATAATTTTCTTGTCAGCATTTCGACTTTCAAGTCCGGTGATTCCCCCGACCCGGTCACCTACCTGACCAATAGGAATCGATACCGCCGCCGCTCCAGCTTCGGCACAAGCCATCGCGTGTACAAGGCTCGAAACCAAGTACAAATTAACATTCAAGTTGTACTTCGTGCTGAGCTCCCGAGCAGCCATTATTCCCGCTTCGGTTGCTGGAATCTGTAAAGCGAACGATTAAATCCGCCGCTCGTAAACGTTGGCGGCATCCGCTTACGCTGAACACAATATATTCCGGGCGGATTCCTTGGGCCTTGAACATCTTGTAAAGTCGCTTCGCGTGATCTACCATTGCGCGTGTGTCGTCGTGTTTCCTGGGATCTACGAAGGTCACATGCGGGCCAGTCACCAGCTCTGACACCGCTATTCCGAGCTCAAACAGCTAGATTGAACTTCAATTCAAGAAATGTCAAACTAAGGCAGGCCAAGTCACTGACGAATTGGTCCATGGCGCGTTGATGGTAATTTCCTGCGCTCCACCCTCTGAGACGCGTCAATGGGGTCTACCAAGAAGCCTGAAATTCTGACCTTTGGGACTCCTCGAATGTCTTCTTTGCAGCCACCCAAATGTGATATGCGATTTCGGTTCGCGAGAGCGCGTTCAGGATTGCTGATGGACACAGCATGGTGCCTTCCAAATCCGAGTGAAATCCAAGTGCTAGATTTGTTTCGTCATCGGCAAATGAAACTATATTGAGCTCAACAAAAATTGCTCACTCTCCAGATCGAGCGTATCCGTTAAAATCGCGACGTTCCGACTACGAAGCTTGAAGTGGAGCCCAGTGGCTTCGTCGAATTTCGGCTTTGTCGCTCCAGGAATTTCTTGGTCTTCAAAAATATTCACCGGCATAATCTTAGATGAAGGGGGTGTAAAATGTGAGGGGTTGAACAGAAAGTGCAGGTGAGATATATACAATGACATGTCAGTGGCCTGTGGCCAAGATTCGTCGCTGTGGCCAGAAGAACAATGGACATTTTTAGTGGCTCCAGTCAAAGGAGTGGCCAAGGGCCGGGTGGCACTCTCAAAGCGACAAAGCGAGCATGTACGCACCATAAGTTAATGTTTTACGACTCAGAATTTTGATATTCATCTTCAGTATGGGTGGTCTGCTCGAAAGGTGGTGTTTACCGAAGGAGTCTATTTTTCTAATTTTTAAAATTCCAACCATGGGTAGTTCCAATTCCACACCGTTATTGCACCACTGATTTCTTATTCGTTGAGGCGTCCTTAAATTTTCAGAGTCTGGTCGATAGGGAACGAGGTGTCCCGAAGACGGGAAGTTGTTGCAGTGGCATCTGGCTGATTTAGATTAGATTGCAGGCGTCTCCGAAGTGAGAACCTGGAGGGCGCGCTAGTGACAGGATCATTCTCGTCAGAATTTATGTAACTTTCTGACATCATGAGTCGTGATGCAGATACAATATTCCGCCTCATTTAATTAAGGTTATCAAGGCCAATCTCATTGTCGAACGAGACGTCCGAGTCATAAATTTAGCCATGCGGCGAGAAGTAGTATACTCCCGAAACTTGCTGAACGTAAAGCCGTGGTTAAGCAAAGCGGAAATACCGAAATCAATATACACACGAAGGTTACACCCACAGCCAATGTCCTATGTACTATTACCGAGGCAGAGGGTACCGTAAGCAGGGGTATAATTTTAAAGGCTGCTCGTTACTACTATACAAAACAAAAGACGCTATCTGTGTAATTGCGGCCTATCCGAGTACGCGTTCCAATCCATAGTAGAGTGGTCATGGGGATGGCCATGCGAATAAGAGTATTGTAGAGAGGAATGGTGGTTTCCCGGCTGTAAATGCCTATTGTCAATGAAAGATATTACGAGTTGAGGTCGTTGACTCACGGTATAACTGGGATCGTCTTCCACTTTGACAGAAATATATTGGTTTGGATGGTGTTGCGTGTAGTTCGAGAGCGTGTTGTTGTGTTGTTGTGGACGCTGGTCCATGGGGGGGTGTATGGGTGCTTGCATTTGAATAGGCTACAGGGGGGAACAAGAAAAAAATCGTCACTAGGATCCGAGACAGTTCTTATCGCCAGCGTCGGGACGCGTGGATGGGGGGTAAAGTAACAATACTCGCCGAGAATGGGGGGCTTGAAGTGGCACTCGAACCCGACGGTGTATTTGGCATTTGGAATGCGGGTGCATGCAGGCTGAATGACAAGCTTGACCCAGGACCGTGGTGATTGGTGTTGGAGGGAATATTGGTGTAATGGTTCGAGGCTGCCTGGGGTATTGTCAACGGTGGTGGTCGCGAAAGTGGTTCCGTCACATGGGGTGGAGTTTCACTGGGGCTCTACGCGTCGATAAGTTTGAGCATTGATTAGTGGTAGGAGTGCGACCGTACGATGTATACCCCCTCCATAGCATGGCCCACCATCTTACGTCTCTTGTAGTCTCGGTCACAATCCCGACCATCTGGGTACGTCGTCAATGGGTCCCGACGCGTGACGGCGGTTGACGTCCCTCTGCTTTCTGCGAGGAGCCTCCGGAGTTCCACGTTTTCTTCTCGCTCCCTCAAGAGGTCTGCCTCAAGCTCGCGTATCTTCACTGTGGGTGGTGTAATGGCACCGATCTGCTCTGGAGTGTAGCCCAGCTCCATTTGGAGCTTTGTTACGGTTTGTTCGAGCTGGGCGACGCTGATTAAAACGCAACGACGTCGTGTGGGTGAAAGGAACAGTGCTGACGCTTACCTGGTCAATATATGCCTTTCGCTTTGCTCGGTGTCTGGCTTGTGCTCGAGCATTACGGCTGCGTTCAGGGCGTTCAGAATTTGCCGTGTGGCCGTTAATAGACGACATGATGACCAAATCACGTAAAGTGGAGGAAGGGGGATCGGGGTTGGAAAAGAGGTGGACCGGGGGCGCGTTGAGTACTTTATAATGGCTCAATTTTAGCGTTTTTGGGACCTGTTCTCAATGGGTTTTGCTTCCTAGCTGACCCTGAAGGGGGGCGGGGGCAGACCAATCTGCTGGTTCCCTTCGCTTGTATCAATGATATCTTCGATCTCCTGTGCTGTCTATCGCCATGCAATGAGCCTCCAGTCGATCCATTAAACTGAATGACGAAGTTATCTATCTAGGCTTATTTGGTTCTTGAGACTCACGCCATTAGAAGTGGGTTTATGCCCTTTTCGTGCTCCAGATTCGCTCGCGGCAATTCGCGGAGGAGGAGCTACCTGTGATCGGGGATCAACATTAAAATACTTCCGCAAATGCCCAAAGGGGTTTGTCCGGATATGGATGCAATTTATTTGAAACTCCGCGAAACTCACACATCTCCCGCCAGCCCTGCCCACTGCATGGCAACCTCGTAGGTAGATGGCATTGAGAAAAGCAAACAAAAAAAAAGGTAATTGTTCAGCTTATCTGAGCGACATTGGCAGCTAGGACCGTTGACCATTTTCTTCTTATTTCCCTCGGATACCACGGGAATTCTCCGTGAATTCAAAGTTGATTCCACCAATCGCACTTTCCCGAACGCTTTGTCAGGTGGGATCGAAGTGAATATCTCACCCTTGATGCTCCCCGACCTCAATTGCCTTCTAAATCAGCTCGGCTGGGTCACAACGCGTTATCTTTGTTTGCGATCCATCTATTGTTGACAGCTCGCCTTGTACATTCTAAATTTGCTCAACATTCGACCACCAGTGAAATCCTTCCAGTGAGGTCGAAATTTGACTTTCAGAATTTCTGAACACGCCGTTCTTTGGCTTAGAATTCTCTCCCTCCCAGAATTAAATGGTATCTTGAATAGTCGTCTTATCGAGTTCCAATGCCATCCTAAGCATTCTACGTACTTTTATGTGAGCGCCTTTTCCATCCTTCACGGAACTAAAACTGGCACCAGAACTTCATTTTCTGGACCGCCGACTCGACCTCAATGGGAGAGACACGACTCTCGGAATATCCCGTTCTGCCTTCACTGATTAAAATAAATTTGCTGAGAAGAAAAGTTCATCTCCCGGATCGTCGATGTACTCAGAAAAATGGTTAGCCAGGAAAATAACTGTTTTGGCCATGCGGCAAAGATAAGCTCTGTGGAACATATGTGGATGAGATTTTTTTTTTGCGCCTTGCTGTGATTTCGACTTCGTGACTGTCTCTGACTCATTCATCGTCAAGATCATAAGATGGATGTTTAGGAGGTGAAGCCGGACGGACGGCACGAATTGTCTAAATGACAGCCTGAGTCGCAATTGAAAGCGCATTTTAACGGGGCAACTTTTACAACGCTTACCGCTTCTGCAGTCAAGGACGCGTGGAAAATGTCAGTCTCGAACGACATGACATCGCAGGGACAGTCCGGCCAAACACTTCAACCTAAACCTTGGAAAAATCGAAACTAAGCTTCGACGTCCTCCAGGCGAACTCAGGAGCACTAGACAGATGATTTCTACATTCAGACAAGTCAGGAACGACGTCGCCACGCCACGACCCGTATTGTAATACTAAGCAAAGAAGAATAAACACGACTTGCAGAGAGGGAATTGTATGACAGCGGGCGCTCAATTCCGGATTTATTTCGCGGTAAATGTTATCATGAGGCTTTGCCGGTGGGTTGTGATTTCGTTTTTCAGGATATATCAATATCATCGTGCGGCAAGGTCTGAGTAGTTTTCGCCCATGCTTTATCTTTGACGGATACCCCAATCAAAACATTATCGATCTGATCCCTGGTTGTTGAGAAACATCAGCTGCCATATGTTTGCCAACATATAGGCACATTGAATTAGTGGCCGGTTCCTACCTAGTCCTAGTTCGTGCAAATCGGTCATACGGACGGGGAGGCAACAGCTTGGCTGGCTGTCGGTTCGTCCACAAAGCACTCCCTACCTTTGATGCGTACGGGCGAGTGAACGAGAAGTAAAAGCCTGTTGGTATGAAATACGCGAAGAAATTCGTGTTTCACGATTTATCAACGCAGTATATCCCCCATCAACAACTTTTGAACAAATTGAGCAGGGTGGGCAAAATTCCGGAAAAATCGGTGGTCATCCCGAAAGCGCACACACGAAAGGCTAATTCAAAAATATATCAGCCGATGTCGGCTGGGCAAAAATGCTCCACCGAATTGCCCAACATAAAGAAAAAATGAATTATTTCTTACAACATACAACTATCCAAGATTTAAATGGCTTTTCAAAATGCCTACTAAATCCACACGACTACCCAGAATCTTCATCATCCGAAATAATTAGTCTTTTTGTCCGTTGACCCACCACAGGCCTTTCCGGAGGCTCAGAGCCGTCACGAGGTTGGGGAGACCGTGGTGAAGACAGATCGAGGGGTGTTTCGGCGGCAGGTCGAGATGAACTGGCGCGTGCCTTCGCGATGGGCCGAGGCTTGGGTCGGGGTGCAGCTTTTGAAGGACCCAGAGGTGAAGTTATTCCCTTATCCTGTGAATCCACAACTTCGACATCACTTGTGTCGGATTGTTCAGGGGCTCCATCGGTGAGGTCGATGTCAACTGCAGCCTCGGTAGATAAGTCGCCTTTTCTTTTCTTACCCTTCTTACCCGTCTCGTCTCCTTTTCGGCGACGCTTCTTTGTCCCAGTCGGCTTCATCGCCACGGGTCGATTTCCCGCAACGGCCGCCGCATCCAGGGCCTTTTGTCGCATAGCCCTTTCCTTCTCCAAGAAGGCTTCCATATCCCCGTATTCTTCGTCACTATCTTCAATGAATTGTGCCGATTTGTATTCCTCCTTTTCTTTCTTCTTCTTATCCGTCTTCTTTTTGCGTTTAGGTTCCTCTTCAGAGGGGTCCGCATCAGATATCGGAGAGGGCGATCGCCTACGCCTGCGACGTCGTTTTTTGCCCAAGAGATCGGATGGTTTCTTGCCATTGAGATCAAACGGCGTTTCGAGGAATTGGGTGATCACGTTGAGTGTACCCTTCAGGTCGGACATGAGTATTCCCGCAGGAACGTACCATTCAAGTTCTTCGGCGTCTGGAATTCGGATTTAAATGTTGAAGATCCGCAACATGAAAAATCGCCCCCACCTTCATCCAAGATGAAGAATTTGGATAATCGGAAAAGAAGCTTCAAATGAGGGTTTTTCGTCGCTGCGTCGGCGTGTTCGTCGCTGAGGTACGGAATCACTATGAATCATGTTAGAGGTGAAATAACTTGCCATCGCGAAGAACTCACAAAAATCCGTAATTTTGGCCAAGGCCTCCGCTGAAGGCCCTTTCGATTGCAAGGCCGCCCTCTCCTCCTCGTCATCAAGCTCAATGGCATCATCTTCCTTATCTTTCTTATCGGTCTCCTCAATGATTCGCGTTCTCTGGTCGATTACTGCTGTCAAGATCTACACAGATAATAATACGTCAGACGCTGTAGCGTGGGTAAGATGACGAAGCTCAAACTTACATGTTGCGTCCAATTGACCAGTTCCTTTTGGCCCCCCTCAACAAGATTAGCGATCGCAATGCCAAGCTGGTCACTCCAAGAGTATCCTTTCTTGACTTCGACGTCAGGCGAATAACGTGTGTTCTCGATCGTCTTCTTCTCCCTCTTGGATTTTTTTTCGGGTTCCCAGCTGGAGAAGTTTTTCCAATTGCCGCGGTTTTTCGGGAAAAATGCCTTCAATGCAACGATAAAAGAGGTCGTCAGTCCGTTTTCCGGTAGGAGTGTATCTGATAGTTCCAAACTCGTACCTCGATAGCCAGAAACGAATCCGCTTCCAAAGCCTTGAAGAACTGACGTAGAATGAAATTGATTAGGTTGACGAGGTCTTTATATGGTTGCTCTCGTGGGAAGGACTTCTGATCTGCTAAGATTGTCTTAAATAAATCCAGAGTTGATACCTAGAAAACGTAAACGGAAATGCGAGATGGGCACGGGAAGGGTCAGCTGTATACAGACGACGCCACCCGTATCACGGACCTTGAAAAACAGCCCTTCGGCTTTGGCCTTGACAACCTGCCGGTGCAATAAACTCACCACGCGGCGCATGTTTTCTGATGTGGAGAATTCCTTATAACGCGACAGATACTTCAAGAGGGTGTGAGTTATTTCGGAGTTGGCGAATTTCTTGATAGCTTGTTAGCGGAGCGACATGTCAGGAAGAAGAAATCTATACCAGTTCAAACGCCTCGAAAGTAAAGATAGTTTCGTGAACCACCTGCTCGTCTTCTTGTTCTATTTCTTCCACATCCGGAATACCGTCCTCTTCCCCGACGCCTAAAATCTCCTCAGAGACTTTTCAAGATGACGAAAAAGACCGTACCTTTCCTTGATTTTCTTTTCCTGGTGATCTTTTTCCTGACATATGTCTCGCTCCCACTCGCTTTTCCCCATTTCTCCAGCATCCGGAGAAGAGCATAAGCCAGATAAATACTCGAATCAAGATAAGCGAGCGATTGCTTCCCCTCTTTGTACGATCGCAGGCTGTCCAGAGCGATGTCAAGCACCTCACCATTGTAAATTAGCTGCTGCTGCAAGACATCCGCGGCCTCGACCAAAACAGGGTCATCTATCTCCGACGAGGACAACTGGTCAATGAGCAGAAGCAATTGAGTTAAGCACTCGATGCCTGCTTGGAGCTCCGTCCACTGTTTTGGCTGATAAACGATGGTCAGCCGACTTTAAAATAACGCCCCATTAATGACGCTAGTTCGCGTGAGAGGAACCGCACCTTCTCCTCCACAGCCTCTCGCATTCGCTTTAACACCCATATGATCCAGCTCCTCTCCGTTACCTCGCCTATCAGCCCAAAACTCCACGTTTCTTCTCCGGTGCGACTCGCTTGTTCTTTGACACGCATCAAAAGGAAAAATTCCAGGAACCACTTAGTCATATAGAGCAGACGTAGATTATCTTTCTCCGTTATTTTCGCCCGTTCTGATCTGATATCCTTCAACAACCCCGCAAGGAATGCTGAAACGACAACAGTCAAACGTGTATAGGTGTGCCTTGAAAAGTGAAATTGGAGTCAACTCACGATTAAAGCAGCCTTGAGTGAACTCAGTCGCGAGATCCTGAAGGGCAACTCTCGCCACCAAGGAGAGATTATCTTCCCGAGTGAGCTCGTCTACCTTGTTCCCCTTTTTGCTTCGTTGCTGTTTGGTCACGTCCATTATACTCCCCGCCTCCCCGTGGATAGCTTGTTGACGGTGGAGGACAAATGTCCGATTTGATGACGATGCGGTATGTTCGGTATCAGCCTCATTACCTCCATCGACACCATCTCCGGCTCGTGGTTTCTTATTGGGGTTCAATTTCACAGCGATTGTAGTTCCGAAGCGCGAGTGGCGTGAGGTAGCTTTCCTAGCCAGGTCTCGTCGATTTCGGTCCTCTTTCTCGAGAAGGCGATGGAGATTCGCCGTAGGTTGCTAAATAATGAACTGTTTGTTAGCGGCATACAGCTAAGATGGGGTACATAACTTACTTTCGCTTGATCGACGACGAGAGAAGGGGGTTTGACACCCCGAAAGAGAAGGTACAAGATTTCGAGGATTAGATTGTTCAAGCTGTTGAAAAGCGGGTCATTCTCGGAGTTCGTGGCGAGGGTGAGGAGGAGCTCTAGGGTGTGTGTTTCCTGGAGTGATTGAATGAGTTTTGATTGAAGGGTAGACAACTCCGCTTGGTCGGCGCTGGTGTGCGAATTCGCCGGAAGATCCTTTATAAATGCAAGATTCCTAATGAGGTGCAAAACGACGTTAATGATCTGGCCATCTCGCTCCGTCCTCTCCTTGGGGAATATTGCCAACGGCGGTAACATGATGCCGAAGAACGCCTGCATGACACCCGGCTTCAGCAGCGCAGCCTTGTAATAGAGGTGACTCTCCAAAAGTTGCGTGTAATCGGTGGCTTTGTCCAACTCCTCGTCGAGCTCCTTCAACTCCTCTGCCATATCAATAGGCCATGTCATAGCTGTAATCAAGTCCACGCACGCAATCGCACGCTTATCTTCCACCAATCCCTTGCCCGCAGTCGCTAGCAAGATTGAAACAAGATCGTTTGGGAGTACCCGCGTTTCCCAGTATATCCGGGCGACGGTTCGTTCATCGTCCGTGTCGTCCTTCCGCCATAGTCTTTTGAGATCCTTCAAGCACCCGTAAACCTCGTCGCCCATTCGATACACATCTCCTTCGAACCCGCCGAGCGCATCAACAACTCGAGTGATGATGGGTGTCAGGAGAGGCCGCCGGTCAACGTACGCCTCATGGTCAGACTCGCCGTCTGTGATCTCGATGACCTCCTCGTCTTCCATTGTTCGATGTGCGTAGGCAATGTGTAGGACGGTGAGATTGTGTTGAGGAGCTGCCGCGTAACGGTGTGACCTCTCGCGTTTGTGACAATCTTTTTGCACGTTAGTATTCATCCAACTTCGAACTCTTCTTGTCAATCATCGTGCGGAACTCTGGTCGAAAGTGAACCTTGCTCTTCAAAGAAATGTTTACAACTGCTTTTGGTATCAATGTTCATGTCAATCTCAGGTTTTGGGTTTCAAAGGCAAAAAGCATCAATGTTCGCACAACACCCCGAGACCGTTGATCTGGTGTAAGTATTTTGTCGACAAGCCAGCAGCAGTGACCCGAAAAATTGGATCCAGGAAATCTCTAAGCACTCAATTTCCATTTAAAAAAGTGACCCAGTTCCTCAATGACAATGCAACGCACCAGCCACTGGTGTAATTGCAAAGGGAACACTGGCAACAAGGCAGGTGAGTTAGTAGCCAATCAAACCACACAAATGGCCGAGAGCGCCCCTAGAGTAACTTGGAGGACGAACGCACTCAGTCGAGCCAAGGCTTAAGCATGGGTATGCGAATGGCAGGGATCCCCGCGGATCCAGGAAAAGTTCACCACGACCCCTCATTTCTTCCTTGGGGAAAGCACCAGCTGCTGGTGTGGAGAACTACTGCAGATCCGCGAGCACATCATCAGGGAATGTACCCGCCAGAGAACCAGTGGAAACATTGTAAGAGAACGACCGAGGACCGGAACTCCTGGGTACATTAAAGATCACAGCGGCGCTAACAGAGTTCCAGGTGCATTTAACATCTCTGGGGGGAAGCTCATGCCCAAAGCAATGCCTACATTCCCTGATGAACCAGAACCGCCAGATATAGACTGGGGATGAGGAAGCCTTAGAAGACGAAATTCAATTTCACCCCGAAATCACACTGCACAATCTCGACGATAACACAACCCGAGCGCGCCGTCTCTCTAGCACCTTTGTGCAATGATACGTCCCTCCTCAGGGCAACCTAGTAAATCCATTCCCTGTACGTTTCCTGTTCCATACTACAGCTGTACAGCACATGGACACTCTCATGTTGAGATTGATTTAACTTAGATCACAATGAAAGGCGGCCGCTTGCCGCCCGCGCGTCTTACAGTCGTTTGCATGATTAATTGCCGGTTGGTTTCGCGAAAACCATGTTTGGCCTTGTGGTGCCCATCAACGGCAACACGATGCCGACGACCAACTTCTCCTCCAGCCCACCTTCTGTCCCCCAATGAGCATCAAATTTGAGCTTGAATCAACCAAGGGTCCCATTGCAGGAGTTTTTATGCTTTAAAATACTAACCAGAATGTCCATACAGGTGCGGGATCCTGGGGGTCGGGATCTGCCGTAAGGCACCATCAACTGTCAGCACGTTCAACAAAAAAGGGAGCGGCAATTATACATGCAAACGACTGTAGTGCTAGCTTACCTGTTGCAGTAATCACTAATGTCCAAAATGAAAGCCTCCAGGTTCCATCATGGGCTTTCCCGGAAAAATCGGCACAGCCTTGGGCCAACTTCATACGCACTGCATCCGATTGTCGTTTTTATTCTCAGCACTCTCCGTCGATCCACTAGGAGTTCACCTAAGTTGAAATATCTTCTCATCAGCCTAGCCTATACTATTAGTGGCATGCCGACTTCTATTCTCGACCTTCCAACGGAACTCATCCTGGAGATCATCCATTCAGATGACTCTACAGACGTCACCATCGCCTACTTAGGAATGACTTGTCGCCGTCTCCATGACATATGTCAGGTTCTAGTCGTGGAGTGCCAACTTCCGGTACTGCGCACATTAGTGAGCAGACGTCGCCTCTTCATCTACAAGAACCCTACTTCAATCACAATGAAAGATGAAGAACTAGGCGACATAAAGGAGATATTTCAAGCCTCATTCCACAAAATCGAATACGTCCCTGTAACCTTCATCGCTGAGGAAAACGCAAGCGTCCACGGACTTATTTTCCACGCCAACGCTGTTTGTCATATCAACATCATACTCGATTCACCGTCATACATGTTCAGCAAAGCCGGGGAAGAAGATTGGCACAAATCACTAGCATCGTTGATCAGTGTTTCCTCGGCGAAGGATATGGCAAGCTTGACCATCACGGGTATACCACACGGCGATCTCCAATACTTCACCCCCATACCCGGCATCCCCAAAACACCATCAAGTCCTGTGAAAAAATATCTCTCCATTTTTAGCCCCCGTAAGGTCCGCTTTCTCGGTCATAAAACGCCGTCGGGCGGTATTCAACACCATATTGGTACTCAGCCGAAGCGCGCACCGGGAAGAAAGAGGCTCCTTAACAATGGGGTATATGTCGATACCCCCCAAGGTCTGAAAAGTTTTGAGATACACTCCCCCCTCCCTTTTCATGGAGCATGCTTTCCGCATACCTTACAAGTTCTGAATGGCGGCTACCTTACCAAATTATCACTCTCGAACACAAGACTCCGTACGTCAGATTGGAGTCACATATTACCTCTACTCATTATGCCTTACCTATCCGAATTCATTGTCGGGGATTCCGACATCGCCTTCCATGACCTTTCACCATTCTTGTTGCGTCACTCGAGCATAACCCACCTCGACCTATCTTTCAGTAGTCCAATAGGACCAATTGTGGCCCCGGCGGGCTTTCTTCCTCGCCTTGAAGTGATCAGCGGAAACCACGATTATCTTTTAGGATTACTTTCCAGCCAGATACCCTTATTTCCAAATCTATGTTCCGTCACGTTGACGCGGCATCCCATGCGAGCCATCCAGCAAGGTGCTGTTGATACCATCTTGCGAAATTTGGCAGACCGTAAGAGAGGGACAATTCGTCTCTCCATCGAATTTTCGGATGCGATCGGTCTTATGGACTGTTTCTCCAACGCCACGTCAGAACCATGCTCCTTGGATTGCGTGAAAACACTCGAGGTCATTAGGTTCGGGTTCCGCATGCCCTCAGAGATGTGCGACAGCTTCTTTTCTTGGGTATCGGTCTTCCATTACATGCAAGAGCTGGATTTGACACGGCTGGTTCCCCCGGACTCGAAAATGTGGACGTGGAGAATAGATGCATTGTGGGATTCATGTCCGGAGTTGCAGTCGATTGTCGTCGGGGTAAAAACCTACCAGCGGCCAGTGAAAGGAGTCAAGTAATATTTGAGGTGAATGAGGTGGGCTGGTATTTGTCCCTTGAAATACATGCCAGGCATCCATATGCGAAGAGTAAGTTTTACTCATGCGGATTTTTTTGGTAGGTAGCGCGGAATGGACACACCGCTGTATAAAATATATGCTCTGGCACGATGCGAGTATCGGATATTCATTAACTTATTCTAAACCTCACATGTTGAGATAAAAGTCAGAACAAGGTTTAAGAAACAGACGCAAACCCCTTCTTATCACTCTCAGCAACGTTCGCCTGAAGCCCAGCAGCCGATTTCCCAGCCGCGCGATGAACAAGGGCCGCTGAGACCGCAGCTGCATGTTCCCAATTATCAGTTGCCTCAGAAATACACAAAGCAGGAAGGGGGACGAACCGAATACGGCGGTGAGGAAAGCAATCCCACCTGACGTAACAGTCATTCCACACCAGACCCCTGCTTCACCGTCGGAATATCGTGTAAAATTGCATTCGTAATGCGCTTGTGTTGAGACCATGATTCCTACCGCTGCGTTGGATCGGAATAGGTTGAATTCTCTGAAGTAATCCTTAGGCAAAGGACCTACCTAGCCATGTGATACTCAATACGGTGAAAGAGTATAAATGGATTGCGGATTTGGTGAGGGCATAGGTCGACAGTGGCCGGTTGTTGTACGCCAAACTGCGGGAGGAGTGAGAGGATGATTCAGAAATTTTGGGAAGCTTACAGGACGCTAGTCCAGACTAGGCTGATCACCGCCAGGCCTCCGGCGATCTTACCAAAGATATCTGGAGAATATAGGGCCTTTTGGGATATGTGGGGATCAGAATAGCGGAGGAATACGTACAAAGGTATGGCGAAAATCCAGAGAAAAAGCTGGAAACGAGTCCGAACACAATTTGGAAGCACGAGAAGGAGAGGGTGAGACCTATATATTGGTTAGTAGGGCGCATTTCGAAGCATCTTAGTAGGACCGACTGTAAAATGTTATCCGGGACTTGAGAGACATTGTCCTCGTAGGCTGAGGGAGTCGTAGCGGCCGCCGCTTGCGCTTGCAGAGTGGTTCGGGGCAGGAAGAAAAGAGCGGCCAGCCCAGGAAGGGCGAGGCGATGGTAATCATTATATCCCATATGAAGCCCGTGCGTGTAGGAACGTCTTGGCGGACGAAGAAGCCATTCATCAATCACGAAGATATTCACTGGCAGTTGGACCCAGACGGCTGTGTCCGCGCGACCAAAATTGTGTCCTTGGCTCCGAGAAATGATAGAACATCGGGACCATCAAAAGCTGGTCCGCAGTGGCACGCCTACACCAAGTTTAGAAAATGCATGCACGATTGAGAGAAAGCAGCGATCTGGATTGGATTGACCTTCGTCGCCATGCCGGCAATGTGGACATCTAAATTCCAAACCCCGCCCGAACCTTATTCCCATCGTCCCCGACTCTCCTTGAAAGTTGAAACCATCTTACTCCTTTGTTCAAACGCAAACGATGATCGCGCTTTACTCTAATGACTGCCACGATCAAGGCTAATGCATAATGGAGGATACATGCGTCTTGACGTACGTTCTTTTCCTTTCGCTTGACGGGGGGACGAGACGAGGTGTGATTGCAAGTTTACAAGCTCAACGACGGTTTTACTTGACCACTGTGTTGTGTTGTTCATGACAATATCACTCTGACCACATTCGTCTTCCGAGTCTCCACCCCTCTCAATTTTCTTCTCCCCACGACTCCCAAACTTATTCTATCATTACAAAGGAAACTAATTCGCCCTTCACCAGCTCAAAGGCGCTAGATGAATTCATAGCCACCCAATCCACCCTACTCGCCCAGAAGCTGGGCAACATTGACCGTTTGAGGGAGCTCAATTCGGAGTTGGTCAACGACCACCTGCCGTTTTCCAACGCCGAAGATGTAAGCCTTTCGTATCGTTGCCCTGCCCTCGCATCAACTGCAAGGGGTTGCGCTGCGTCACTTAAAGCGAACCCTACGGCTAGGGGTTGTACTGCTGTACCTACAGCACTACGCTCTCAAAACATATTAAGCAAAGAATCTCAACGCTGACTCTTTTTCTTTTCTTCTTTGCACACATAGCTCGACGAATGGTTTAAAAGACGCCTCGAAGTCCCCCTCTTTCCGGCTGGGCGAACGCGCGAAGGAATGTAGGATGAAGACACTCCGGGATGTTAGTTGTAATTGGGCTGTATTTGAGGGGTGTGGTGGGTCTGTACCTCTTTCTTTCGTCCCTCCGCTTCTTCTCCCTTTCCTTTTCTTCCCTCTAGAATTTCTCTCTCGCTTCTTCCTCCTCCTTTTTCCACTTCCACTTTCTCAGGTTCTCAAGCCACAAATTAACTAACACTACGCTTAAACAGACCCTTACTACACGCCCTAATCTTTCACGCGCAATACGTCCATGCACAACCGGGTCTCGGAGCTCCAGCATCTCAAAGGCGCGAGAAAGGCTACTGTCGATCCTGTGTTGGCTCTTTTCGCTGATCTTTCTACCGATGAAGGTGAATAGTCACCTGCGGAAGGGAAGAAAGAGCGAGAGGAGGCCCGCGAGAGGGGGGAAGATAGGGAATTAAAGAGACGGAGGATTAGGGCATGTGGTGGGTTGAGTTTACCCTCCTCTTCCTTCCGGAGAGGGGGAGGAGGGCGAGGCGTCTATTGGGCGTGATGTGGACGATCATGAAATTATGGATGTGGATATTGGGTATGGGGAGCTGAATGGGTTCGAGCTGACGGGGTGGATGGGGATGGGGATGCTTCCGCCGCCCAAACTGGTACTCGAGAACGCGTCGCGGTCGAGGAAACCGAGTAGGAACGCTCTGATTTTGGTTGGCGCTTTTTCCGTTTTCCCTTGGTCTTGAGCTTCTCTTTTCCGACGTTGGCCTTCCCATTGGTGTCGGGGGTTGACCTGAGGTTGGGAATCCTGGCTTTCTTCGGCGGTCTCTAACCCCCCTCCTCCTTTCCCGCCCTCAGAAGACACCTGGGGCCTATGCGCACAAACAAGCGTGATCCGTAGCACCAGCTTGAACAGTTGTTGGAGCAGATACAACCGGAAGGAGAGAGGCTTAGGTGGCAAAAGATTTCGAGAGCCGTGAATGGGACGGGGACGCTTAATGGGCAGGTTGCGTATTTTGAGAAGTTGAAGTTGGTGTCGCACATCTTCAGCTCACTCCACGACAAAGTGGTTGAGGCAGATTCAGTCCTAGCTTACTTGTTGCACCTCTGACGCCTCAATCCATAGAGCTAGAATCCAAAAAATTAGCCTCCAGTTTCTTTGGCCTGCCCATAAAAATCGGCACAGCCTTGGGCCACAAATCAGGAATGTCACACGTTTTGTGCTCGTTTAGTGCTCGCTTTCATTCTCTCTCTCGATCCGCTCGGAGTTCTCAGTTCACCGTTGTAATACCTTCTCGTCAGCCTACCTCATACTTTCAGCATGCTGGCTTCTATTCTTGACCTTCCAACGGAACTGATCGTGGAGATCATCCATTCAGACAATTCCACAGATGCTACTACTCTCGCCTGCTTGGGAATGACCTGTCGCCGTCTCCATGACATATGTCAGGTTTTTGTCTTGGAGCGCCGACTTCCCTTACTGCGCGCGTTGGCGGGCACAGGTTGCCTTCGCATCTACAAGGACTCTGGTTCAGTCGCAATGAAAAGGGAAGAATTAGACGACGTCAAGGAGATATTTCAAGCTTCATTTCACAAAATTGAATACGCCCCTGTAACCAAGTTGGCCAGTGAGGAAATTGCAAGCATCCACGGGCTTATTTTTCACGCCAACGCTGTCGGTCATATTGCCCTCCATTTCGACTTCCTGCCAATCATACAGTCCAGCCACTGGCACTTGAAAGATTGGTACAAACCGCTGGCTTCGTTGGTCGGGACTTCCTCGGAAAAGATGGCACTGGCAAGCTTGACTATCACGGGTTCACCACAACCCCCACCACAACCCCCATTCAAGCCTTTCACCCCCATTCCCGAGACGCAAAAAAGTGAAATTTCCATTTTTGGCAGACTCAAGAACCACTTTTTTGGTGGTACTGGTATTCAGCCCAATCGCCAGACTGGCGCACCGGAAATGGAGAACCCCAACACAGGCATATATTTCGGTGCACTCCGAGAACTCAAAAGTTTTGAGATAGACTCTCCCCTCCCTTTCCATGATACATGCTTTCCACATACCTTACGAGTTCTAAATGGCGGATACCTTACCAAATTATCTTTAGGGCACTCAAGCCTCCGTATCTCAGATTGGTCCAACATATTGCCCCTACTTTCCATGTCTCTCCTATCCGAATTTAAGCTTCGGAATTCCAAGATCGATTTCCGCGACCTTTCAGCATTCTTGCTGCGTCATTCAAGCATAATCCACCTCGACTTATCCGACAATATTCCAACTTCAGAACCAATCATGCCCCCGAAGGGCTTTCTTCCTCGCCTTGAAGTGATCAGCGGAGACCCCGATTACCTTTCAGGATTCCTTTCCCGCCAAGGAGACTTATTCCCACATCTACGCTCCGTCGCATTGATGCCGTATCTGGGGCTCAGAACCATCCAGTACGGAGCTCTGAAAAATATCTTTCGAAACTTGGCAGATCGTAAGAGAGGGACAATCCACCTCTCCATCGAATTTTCGGCACAGATTGGTCTTACCCAATGGTTTTACATGGCCAGATCAAAACCATGTTCTTTGGATTGCGTGAAAACATTGGAGATTATCAGGTTTGGAATACCCATTTCCTCAGAGGTGTGCGACAGCTTTTTTTATTGGGTATCGGACATGTTTCCGTGCGTTCAAAAGCTGGATTTGAGGCGGATTGTTCTCCCAGACCCGAACATATGGACCTGGAGAGTGGATGCATTGTGGGACTCGTGTCCGGAGTTGCAGTCGATCATTGTAGGGGTGGAAACCTACCAGCGGCCTGTGAAGTAATATTTCTGTTCCTCTTCTGCTCCGAATCATGGACGTTAACACTTCTGTCTTTTTTTCTTGCTACCTGGGTGTTGACGCTATCTTCACCTCTAATAAAATCAAGAACCAGTACTGCACAACTGTACTCTGGTAGTTAAATATGTAGTACTAGCACCCCAAACCCTTTCTCAAATCGACGGACGCCAAGTTGAAAACATTTGAGGCGTAGACATTATCTTCTTCCCCGCCCAACTCCATGAAATTGTTGCCACCCAAATCCGGATGGTTGAGACATGGGAGGTGGTCGCGCAAGTCCTGAATCAAATGATGACACCGAGGTGGGATGCTGGGAATGTTGTTGACTGGTGGAAGGGTAGACCAGCCACTTCTCGGAACTTTCTGAGGGAGGCGGAGGTGAAGGCGTCGGAGGTGGTGAATTGGACGTCAATACTAGAAGCGTGGAACGAGCTTCCCATAGTATTTCAGCTGGATGAGGTGGTGGCATTGTTTCCCTTGACCTGAGCTTTTCATGATTGTTATGCAGTCGTGCAATCATGTCCGTCCGCCGCTGCAGCTCGCCCTCGCTCATTCCAGCCACCGCGAGTTCCTCCAAGCCTTTCCCCAGCGCCCCAATTCGTGCCAGAACAACAGCAAGCTTCGACTTTGCCGCCACAGAGGCACCAACATCTCCTCGATCAGAGAGGTCATCTCGTTTATTGATGTCATCCTGGAGCCGGGATTGAAGCTCTTGCCTGACGACTGGTATGCCCAAGAACTCCTCAAAAGCAAAACTCCCCCGCCGCGTGTCCTCTTTAGCGCTTAGGATGGCTCTGAGGTACGTTTCTAGCCCTACTCTCCGCTCATCGAGTATCTTGGTATCTGAGTGGGAGCGGAGATGCGACGAGCTTTCATCTAAATGAAAATTTGAGTAATTTAATTTCATCAACCTTTGGTTCAATGTCCTTATACTGATGATGATCGTCACGCCCTGTGCAGTGTTAAATTGACCACCAGATGTAGAACCAGTGAAAAGGGACACAGTCGATACTTCACTATATTTATAGATGAACGTTCAGTCAGTTACAGTTATAAATGAAAAGTTCTGTACGTACCACAGTGTCGATATCGATGTGGAACTTATCGACGACTGGCTGGCAGCTTCTGTCTTCGCTACACCAAGCCCAAGAAAATGCCTCCACGATCAAGAGAAAGCAGCGATCGGGGCGTGCCGGGTTGTATTGACCTTCGTCGCCGCCATGCCTCACTCCGCCCCAGCCTTTCCAACCACCAGGACCCTGACCCCTAAATTGAAATCCCCTCCTTCAACAACTTAAAAGTGCTAGAAGGATTTAAAGCCACCCGATCAGCCCCTCTTGCCCAAACGCTGCATGACATTGACCGTTTGAGGGAGCTCAAATCGGGTTTAGTCAACGACCACCCGCCACTTTCCGACGCTGAGCTTGAAGACGGAAGTCTGTCGCGTCGTTGGCCTGCTCTCACATCGACTGCAAGGGATGGATGGCACCAAAGCAAAGGGTTGTGCTGCGTCACTACAGCATGAACTTCAAGTTGCTCTAAAGGGTCGGTATCTACCCTAGGGCTAAGGGTGGCACCTTGCCTCCGCCGCCTGTACAGTACTCAAGGTCGAGGAAACCGAGGATCCCGTGTTGGCCCTCGCCGCTGACCTCTGACGATGAAGCTGAAGAGTCAACTGCGGAGGGGAAGAAAGAGCGAGACGAGGCGTGCGATAGGGAGTGAGAGTGGGAGTGAGCTGGCGGGGTCGATGGGGATGGGGATGTGAGAACGCGCCGTGGTCGAGGAAACCGAGTAGGAAGTTTGAGAGCCATGAATGGCACGAGCACGCCTAGGCAGATTGCTAGTCGGGTGCAGAAGTATTTTGAGCAGTTGATGTTTGGTGTCGAGGGGTCTTGCGATCTGTGGGGTATTTTAGGAGGAGATTTTGATAAGATAATGGACCCACTCACATCTTCAGTTCACTCTTGGTTCAGTCCACGTCAATCCCTAGAATCCAAAAAATAGACCTCAAGTTTCCACGGCCTGCCCATAAAAATCGGCACCGTAGCCTTGGGCCAGATCAGGAACGTCACACGTTCTGCGCTCGTTTTTCTTTCTTTTGGTGGAGCTAGAGAGAGATAGAGAGAGAGAGAGGCTATGTATGTATGTAGACTAACAGAGTTAGCCTTGGAAGCTTGTGAGACAGGGGGTTTCACCCTTCTCTCTGTCGATCCACTAGGAGTTCACCATTGTAATATCTTCTCATCAGCCTACCTCATATTAGTGGCATGCCGGCTTCTATTCTTGACCTTCCAACGGAACTCATCCTGGAGATCATCCATTCAAACAACTCTACAGATGCTACCGTTACCATCGCCTGCCTGGGAATGACTTGTCGCCGTCTCCGTAACATATGTCAGGTTCTTGTCCTGGAGCGCCAACTTCCCGTACTGCGCGCATTAGTGAGAAGACGTCGCCTCTTCATCTACAAGAACTCTGGTTCAATCGCAATGAAAGATGAAGATTTAGACGACGTGAAGGAGATATATGCTTCATTCCACAAAATCAAATACGCCCCCGTAACCTTCACTGTCCAGGACAACGCAAGCGTCCACGGACTTATTTTTCACGCCAACACTGTTGGTCATATTAACATCAATCTCGATTTACTAGCCGAGGAAGAAAATTGGTACAAACCGCTGGCTTCGTTGATCAGGGTTTCGTCAGAGAAGAACATGGCAGGCTTGACCATCAGGGCTTTACCACACAGCTACTTCACCCCCCTACCCATCCCAAAAACGCCATCCAGTCCTGTAAAAAACTATCTTTCCATTTTGAGCCGACTTAAGGACCGCTTTTTTGCTCATAAAACGCGGTCACCGCGGCCAGGTGGTATCGGTAGTACTCGCCAGGTCGGCGCACCAGAAAGAGAGAGACTGCCCAACTTCACGGGCGTATGTTTCAGTACACCCCGAGGACTCAAAAGTTTTGAGATAGACTCTCCCCTCCCTTTCCGTGGAGCATGCCTTCCGGAGACCTTGCAAGCTCTGAATGGTGGATACCTTATTAAATTATCTCTCTTGAACACAAGACTTTATATGTCGGATTGGAGTCACATATTGCCCTTACTGTCCATGCCTCTCCTATCCGAATTCAACGTTGGGGATTCCGACATTGCTTTTCGCGACCTTTCACCATTCTTGCTGCGTCATTCAAGCATAACCCACCTCGACCTATCTTGCAGTAGTCCAATAGGACCAATCGTGCCCCAGAAGGGCTTTCTTCCTTGCCTGGAAGTAATCACCGGAAACCCCGATTATCTTTCAGGATTACTTTCCGGTCGGAGACACTTGTTCCCACATCTACGCTCTGTCGTGGTAAGGCATTCCCCCAATCCCATCCACTGGCAGGACAAAGCTCTTGATGATCTCTTGCGAAGCTTAGCGGATCGTAAGGGACCGGGGACAATTCACCTTTCCATTCAATTTTTTCAACTGAGATGGATTTCCAAGGCCAAGTTAAAATCACTTTCCTTGGATTGCGTTATCGAGTCCGGATTCCCCATTTCCTCACAGATGTACGACAGTTTCTTTTCTTGGCTACCGGTCAAGTTCCCGTATGTTCAAGAGCTGGATTTGACGTGGGTTGTTCCCCCGGACCCGAACATGTGGACCTGGAGATTAGATGTGTTGTGGGACTTCTGTCCGGAGTTGCAGTCGATCATTGTCAGGGAAAAAACCTACCAGCGGCCTGCGAAAGCAGTTCAGTAATATTGCAGCTGAATCGCCGGTATTTTTTTCCCTGACTCTCTTGAAATTTATGCTTACACCGAGCGTAAGAAAATGCGTGCATGATGGAGAAAGCAGCGATGTGGGCGTACTGGCTTGCATTGACCTTCGTCGCCACCATGCAAGCCCCACCTGAACCTTATTCCCTTCCTCTCCAATAATCCACCAGGAAGCACCCTGACTTCAAAAATCTCACACAAGCGCACCTCATCCAAACACGAAAATGTCTCCACTAGGCTTCTGATCTGTTAGGTATTAAAGGAAGAGATTTTGATAAGATAATGGACTCACTCACAGTTCACCCCACAACAAAATTCAATGACAGGCAAATTTAGTATATAAGTACGATCAAGCCTTGATTAATCCCTAGAATCCAAAAATAAGCCTCAGCTTTCCCACAAAAAATGGACCTGCCAAGTCAGGAACATTTAAAAAAAATTTAAGCCCTGCGTCCGAATGTCGTTTTTATTCTCTCCGTTCTCTTGCGTCGATCCACTAGCAGGTCACTACACTGTTGTGATATCTTCTCGTACGTCACCTACCTGGCATGCCGACCTCTATTCTCGACATGCCAACGGAACTCATCCTAGAGATCATCCACTTAGACAACTCTAAATATGCCACTACTATCGCTTACTTGGGAATGACGTGTCGCCGTCTCCATGTCATATGTCAGGTTTTTGTCCTGGAGCGCCAACTTCCCGTACTTCGCGCATTAGTGAGCAGACGTCGCCTCTTCATCTTCAGGGACTCTGGTTCAGATCCAATGGAAGCGGAAGAAGTAGACGACGTCAAGGAGATATTTCAAGCTTCATTCCACAAAATCGAATATGTCCCAGTTTGAACCTTCACCGTTGACGAAAACGCAAGCGTCCAGCGGCTTATTTTCCACGCCAACGCTATTGGTCATATCAACATTGTACTCGACTCACCGTTATACATGTTCAGCCAAGCCGAGAAAAAGGATTGGCACAAACCGCTAGCTTCGCTGATCAGGGTTTCCTCAGAGAAGGATGTGGCGAGCTTGACTATCAAGGGTATACCATGTGGCGAGCTCCAAAACTTCACCCCCGTAATACCCGTTCCCAAAATGCCAACAAGTCCTGTAAAAGACTGTTTTTCTGTTTTTAGCCCCCCTTACGGTCCGCTTCTTTGGTCACAAAAGGCGGTCAGGTGGTATTGGTATCCAGCCCAACCGCGCACCGGAAAGAGAGAGACTTCCCAACACGGGGATATATTTTGGAACACCCCGGGGACTCAAAAGTCTGAAGATCGACTCTCCCCTTCCTTTCCATGGAGTATGCTTTACGCATACCTTGCGAGTTCTGAATAGTGAATACCTTACCAAATTATCTCTCTGCGACACAAGACTTCATACGTCAGATTGGAGTTGCATATTGCCCCTACTTTCCATGCCTTCCCTATCCGAATTTACTGTTGGAGGTTCCGACATCGCCTTCCGCGACCTTTCACCATTCTTGCTGCGTCATTCAAACATAACCCACCTCGACCTATCTCGCAGTAGACCAACAGGACCCGTTATGCCCCCGAAGGGCTTTCTTCCTCGCCTGGAAGCAATTGGCGGAGACTCCAATTTTCTTGCAAGACTCCTTTCCTGCCAAAAACACTTATTCCCACATCTACGCTCGGTCACGGTTGCGTTGACGCTGTATCCCGAGCTAGCCATCCAGCACGGAGCTCTTGATAATATTGCGAAACTTGGCAGATCGTACAATCCACCTTTCCATCGAGTTTTTGCACCCGACCGATTGGCGAGTTACGGAGTGGTTTATCAAGGCCAAGGCCAAGTCAAAACCACTTTCCTTACTAGATTGCGTGAAAACACTAGAAATTATCATGTTCGGATCCCCCGTTTCCCCACAGATGTGCCTCAGCTTGTGTTCTTGGGTATCGGTCTTCCACTACGTTCAAGAGCTGGATTTGACGCGGGTGGTTCCTGAGCACCTGGACATGTGGACCTGGAAATTAGATGCATTGTGGGACTCGTGTCCCAGGTTGCGGTCGGTCATCGTCGGGGTAGAAATCTACCAGCGGCCTGTGAAGTAGGGGATCCTCAGGTGAATGAGGTGAGATGGTATTTTTCCCCTCGACCCTCTTCCCATGTAAACTAAGTTTAAGCAAATTCATTCACAAATCAGAGAAAGCGGCAATTTCGGCGTGACATCCGAAGGGGAGAGGAAGTTTTGGTGGGAGGGGTGCGGAAGTATTTTGATAAGTTAGAAGTTTGGTGTCGTGACTCGAGGGGTATTACTTAGTTTGCGATCTGTGGGGTATTTTACAAGATTTTGATAAGATAATGAGATAGTGATAATCGTGAACAGCATATGTGATCTCCATCAAACCTCCATCTCTAGATCACACATAGCCACACCGCACCTACTTACACGCTCGTACTACCCACTCACATCTCTAATTCACCCCGCAATGGCAGGCAAATTCGATGCGAACAATGCCCAGAATCTCGTCGAGGTGCGTCCTTTCCCTCCTCCCGACTCTTTTCATTCAATCAACCCACGCGTTTTCTCCGTAGATCGAGAAACAGTGAGTCTTCCCTGTCCTCCCTCCTTCCTTCCGAGACGATGAACGTGGTGAAAGGTTCGCAGTGAAAGCCGTAGAACAAGCCCAGGTGCGTACTACACACCCACGCGCTCGCTCGTTTCGATTGACCCACCGATGTGAATGTAGACGTATTGGAATCTTTTGGAGATTATGAATCCGCGCGATTTGAAGTTGACAAAGTTCGTCGTGTGCCTCTCTCCATTGTCCTTCGTTCGCTCCCCTCGTTCTTGCTTCCTTTTTCTCTCCCGCTCTCCCTTGTCCGACGCCGATCCATCCTTTCCTCCTACATCCCGCCCTCCTTCCTGTCCCCCTTCTCCCTCCCTCCCTCCTCCCTTCCTGTACAAACCCACTAACCACCCCAACTCACAGACTAGACGACGAAATCTACGCACACGCCCAATCCTCGTTCCCAGAACTCTTCGTCCCGCCATACGACAAACTCATCAAGCTAGATGAAGAGTGGATGAAGTCTCCACAGGGAAAGGAACGGTGGCGCGTTTTTATTGAGTCGTGAGTTGCTTCTTGGGTTTTCTTCCTTGACTGCCCCAGGAATCCGATTTTGGGTTGGTGATGGTTGGAGATGTCACTCTTGAGCGCTTGAGCGGCCAAGGCCGATGTAGATGGGATTCGATGACAATCCACTCCGCCTACAACCTGGCACACGACTCATCCTTTCTTTCCTCTCCACACACACCTCGGGCGTTGAACAAAGAACGCTAATGCTAACGCGATAACTAACAGGTACAAAGACAAAATCCAAGACTACAACTTTGGTTCTCTCATCCGTACGAACGCGGAGGACGAGTATGGGGAGACGAATACGATTTTTGGTGCGTCTTCTTCGTCCTTCTTTATCTCCTTCATTCCTTTGCCCCCCTTCCTTCGTTCCCCTTCCTTCGTTCCCTCCTTCGTTTCTTCCCCCTCCCCCCTTCCTTCCTTTCTTTTCTTTCTTCCCCCTCGCTCGTACCGCCCGCTTACACCACGTTTTGTTTTAGTTACACGGATACAGGTACGCTTTCCAAGTCTTTCGTCCCCCTCGTCGTAAGGTTCTGATCACGTGTTTTTGGACGGCAGTTTTACGCTTTTGAGGTGAGCAACCCTGCCCTCTTTCTCAATCTGTCTTCGTTCCCAGTTGTACTTTGTGCTTGTATGCGCGCTTTTGAGTCGTGCTTTGCTCCTCCCATCTTTCTCACTCTCACAGTCACATCGCCCACGTTCTATCTCTCCCCACCTATACCTCCACCTCCAAGTCCTCGGTTCTTACCTTTTCCTCCACCCGCTCCCTCTTGCCACTCCCCCACCCCCTACCTCCTCCTCCTCCTCCCTCCCATCTCAGCCTCCACTCACTCTCCTCTTCCCTCGCTCCCTCCCTATCACACCGTCTTCCCTCTCTCCCTTATCCCACCCTTACCCGCCTCCTCCATCTCCTCCTTCTCTTGTCCCTCTATTTCCCTTCCATTTCCCCCTCTTTCACTTCCCCTTGCTCACCCCCAACCACACCCACAGATCGCACGCAACAAACTAGGACTCAACGAAAAGGCGCACGAGATCGCCAAAGCTGACGCTGCCAAGGAGAAGGCGAAGAAGGAGAAAGAGGCGAAGGGTAAGAAGGGGGGAAAGTCGTAGTTGAGAGGGGTGGATAAGGTGAGGAAGGGCGTTGTTCTGTGTTTACGGTGTCTGATTGGTTTTTGGGTTTAGGGAGCTGTACGTATGTATGGATATATAACGTGGAACAAGTGGAACTTTTTTTCACCATTGACCTCTGCGCGTGAAGCCTGTCGTTTCGCTTGGCTTCTTGCTCACATGGGCGGTGTACAAGACGGTGCCAACCAGTCGGAACAAGTGGAACTATTTGCACCGTTTGACTTCTGCGCGTGAAGCCTGTCGGTCGCTTGGCTTGTTGTTCATATGGGCTGTGTACAAGACGGTGCCAACCAGTCGGATTCATGATCACCTTGACCGCTCCCCACCATAGTATGTTTTCCCAATCGCAAGTTCGTTGGTTGCCCCCAGGTTTTAGCTTCCTGAAGGACATCCACAACGGACATCTCAAGCCCAGTGAAGATGTCAACTACCAAAAGGATCCATTGTCCGGCGCTAGACCTACCTACCCCTCCCCCCTTTGAAGATACAAACCAGGGGCCATTGCCTCGCTGCAACTAGTATCGGTGAGCGTGATCTCTGTCAATTGATGCGTCGAGCTCAAAGTACACAGGCGTTCTTGGGCCGTGAAGACTCAGGTCTAAAAACGTAGCGTCGACCGGATTGCCAAAGGGAGAAGTTTTGAGTTTCTACCCGAGAAGCGCGTTTGAACCGTCCTCAAAGCAACAAACTGGGGCCGCACGAATGTCAAGGCAACAGGCGAAGAAGGGAAGCACTGACAGTAGGAGAAGCATTCGAATGTCCTCGCGGCTACTGATGTATCGGTCAGGTAAGAAAGGAAAGGGCTTCCGTCGTCGTTCAGCGAATGGCGGTTATTATAATCGGGCTAGTTCGAATTTGCAAGCACGAAAACTCGTCATTTATTCATTCAGCAATTAACAGCGTAGTATAGTATCTGTCTGTATATATATGGTGTATATATGTATGTACAAGAAAAGCGAATGGAAATCGTGATAAGTAAAATGGTGGTACACTTTTTGGCAAACTTGACAACAATCGCGTGAGGTACTGCGGAACGTCCAGGTATGGTGTGGTGGTGTGACGACGATCAAGTAGTGGGGGGTATATGTATGGCGTGGAATGTATGAAAGGGGGTGACGCTTGGTTATTGTTGGTTTCGATGATGGGCAAATTATGATAACAAAAGATCTTCTTTCTGGCAACCTTCTTTCTAGATTTAGTCTTGGTAACGGCAACCCTCCAATTTCAGGTAGGGGTGCAACCTCCTACGTTCGGGTGGTCGTAACGGTGACAACGTCCAAAAGGCACACGGTCGTAACAACAGCCTCCAACGCTGATGCTTGAGTGACCCGTGCTGACTTCAATAATTATCCACCTCGTGTAAATGTCGCTTGTTCGCCTGTGCAACGTTGATTGCAAGCCCGGCCCCGGAGGAAGAGGCCGCGCGGTATACTAGTATCGCGGCTACCAGTGCTGTTTATTTGCAAAGTTAGCGTTGTGATGATGTGTGAGGGAGGAGAAGAACATGGTAGGAGGACAGAACAAAGGCAAGAATGGGAGGAAAAGAGGGGAAGGAGAATGAGGAATGGGAGGAAGGAGGGAGATAGAGGAGGAGAGGGAGAGGGAGAAGATAAGTGGGGGAAGAGGTAGGGCAGGAGGAGAAGGAGAAAGCGGTATAGAAGGAAGGGAAGTAAGAGAGGAAGGCAAAGCAGCACAAGGAAGGAGTAGTGAAAGAGGAAGAGAAGAAGGAAAGTACGGGTAAAGAGAGTAGAATCGGGAACAGGGGAACAAGGAGCAGCGGGAGGAGGGTAGCCGAAGGAAAAAGACGAAGAACTAAAAAGACAAAGAGAGCAACACTTACAAAATATCGCAGTCAAGAATGCCAACGCGCTCGAGAAACACGCGGCTGCGCACCAGAGTGTCTGGGCTCTACACTCAAATGGCATTTGTGTGGCTATCATTATTCCGATGGCTGTTTGAGGTGGGATGTCAGTATGTATCCCGAAAGATGGGCAGGTGGAGAGAGAGGATGGGGGAGGGAAGGAAGAAGGAGAACGAACGAACCTATCCATATCGGCACCAACACACCAAACGAAATAACATGCGCAGAGGACCGAGTGAGCGGATGCGTCGAGACCGGGAGGCGATTGTATCTTATTCTGTTTTCCAAAAAGAAAGTTCAACGTGACCTAAGTATGCCTTGTTTTTGTGTGGGTGTAACGAACGTACAGCACCCCAAGCCATATCCACGTCGCTATTGACACTCCTGCTGCTAGTTTGCCAAATATATCTGTACTTTCGTCAGTCCCATAAAACTCATGAAAAGAGGGGAGGGAGACATACAAAGGAATGGAGAGGACCCGTTCAGGAATCCCGCGATGAGGCCAAAAACGGTTTGGAGGCACGCAGTGAAGAGTGCCAGACCTGAAAGAAGTAGTACAAATGGTCAGTTTGACTGGAGAAACACGGGTATGTGACGGGAAATGGGAGTTGAATGAAGGAAGCGTACTGTAAAACGCAGTACGATCGCAAGGCATTTTGTGTTGTTCAAACTTTACAAATGCCGTCTAACAGTGGCTTTTGGATTGCAGACAGAAGTGGTGGTGGTGGGCAGAGCAAGGACAGCAAACAGCAAACAGTGAAAAAGGCGGAAAGCGACCGTCAAGCGAAGAAGTGACCCCACTTTCAAAAATTTCCCCTTCAAGCTCTCTTCGTAAAGGGTCCACAGGCCGTCAGACTCAGAGTTTGTTCCCTTGACATCCAGGGTCCCACTGACTGCGGCTTCGGGATGCGATTTGGGGCTTCTTGTCCGTTTCTTTACGACTTCGTTCCATGGAGCTCCTTGGAGTGATTAGATGAAGATGAGGTTATTTTGGTTGCAAGGTTATTTCTCGGCGAGAGACAGCCTCCTACCCATTCGTTGCGCCGTGGTTGAGTCAAGGGGGGAGCGGGATTTGAATTTGCCATATGGGGCCGGTTAGTTAGTCCGGCCACCAGGCCGTTAAATTTTTTAAATTTTAAGTACCAATTTCGGGTAATTTACGGACCAGATGAGCTTAGATTAGACTGGTGCGCTCTCTGATGTGTTTGACAAGCTCTCCTCACTTACCGAGCGGGATATTTCCAGGATAACCCTGCCAGAACCAGTACGTGCTACTTACATTCAGGATAATAACCATTCTAAGAAGCCTGATATATGATATAGATTGAGGGGGATATTCGAGACGATAAAACCATTATCTGTCCACATTGTGAGACACCAGTCCATCTGGGCACAGTCGGTCTTCAAAATTACTACAAGCGACACAAAGGGAGTAAGCAATGCAATGAGAACAAGCAAAGGAGAGAAAGGGAGAAGAGCGCGCAAAAGGGAAGAAGGCAAATGACGATGCAAAATTTTTTCACCGCATGTCCACAGGAAGCACGTACACCTGCACCGGCTGCACCATTGGTACGATCTTGAGACACAAAGCGATAGCTATGATGGAATGGAGACTGGTAAGTCATGTCACTGTCTCTGAACTGTACTCTACTCACCCTTTATGCAGAGCCCTCCACTATGATGTTCCGTTGTCCTTCCAATGACGGAGACACGCTTGACACGAACGACGCAGTTGTTCCAGCTGTCATCGTGCAAGAGGCCAGGCTACTTGCAGATGAGACGCTTGACGCGACCGATGCAGTTATTTCAGCCGTCGTCACACAAAAAGTTGGCCTATGTGCAGATGAGCTAGAAGCCATCAACACAGGAACCGACAGTGGGAATGGGCATGGAACTCACGGATTTGCTACAGATCTCAATGTACCCACTGCCTCTGCAAACTCCGACCTGAGAAGCCTACGAGAAGGTTTGAGGAACACCAGTAAACGAAAGCTTGTGAGAGAGTGTGATTGCGGCGAGAGTATAGACGAAGTTGAGGCTGACGACGAAAGCAGAATAATTATCTGCGGACGAAAAGGCTGTGAGACATTGTGGGTAAGTCATTTCATTTCGTGTCATTTCTGCCTACTACTCACCACTGACTATGCAGTACCATCTTTCGTGCGTTGGACTGGATCGTGGTATCAACGACTGGGTTTGTGACCCATGCAAGAGCGTAGAAAAAAGCAGAGGAAGGGGTGGCAAACGAAGGCGCGCAGTGTAGATAAGGTGGCAGCTGACACGACGCCCAAACGACGCCCAAAACACGGTGCCTATTTATAGACTTTACCTATATATGGTAATTTATTCGCACGCTAGTTAGTTAGTCCCGCCATAGTGGCCTTATGAAAAAAATCAGCATGATATATTAAATTAAAATTATGTACCCCCCTTGGGTTGAGTCATCTGAGGGGTGAACGCAATGTTTTATCTAAGTGATTTAGGTAGATTAGTAATACTGATAAGAATGATCCGAGATAACACCGACAACTTTAAACTGCTCAACCCGAGTCAAAAATGACTCGGGTTATTGCGAGGTAGATCTGATTGCCTAGAATTGAAGCGATGTAAGGTGTCGTGTCATCGACAGAGTTCTATACAAATAGATTTGAGTTCGATCCAATTCGATATTACACGATGTAAGCCATGTACGCAGTGCGGTTTCCAGTGTGGGTCAGCCTTGCAAATCGCCTGAAATATATCTAACTCGATTGATGCTCACACATGCCACGCAAATCGACCATAGTCACTGTGACTCGGCCTGATCGGAGTTGATTTTCACTGGGGCTCAACCACTGTGCAACGCCTGGCACAAAACATTTGTAAACAAATGGTGCCACAGCGCGGAGTCTCAAAACACGTCGCATTCAAGTTATGTCAGCACGCTTGGGCAACGCGCTACCCAAGCACTATTACTCACCACCACCACCACAAAGCTTCCTCGTGAATACTCCAAGCATACCCAATAAGTTATATTGTGAACAGGAAGTTTTAGTTTGAATTTTAACGGATGTCCATATGATTGTAGTACATCTAAAATTGACCTGATGACCAAAGACAATTTATGTAGCAGGAAAGACAATAAACCAAACTTCTGGGGTCATTTTTTTAATACTGACTTCAAAAGATTCATTTCACTGATACCTGACTGCAGACAAGATTCACAAATACATCTGGCCACCCATTCAATAAATTTCAATTACAAGTATATGCACTAACTTCTTCATCAACCGAATATATTTCAACCTCCAGAGCTTTTCAAATTGTCAAATGCAATTTATTAGGTATGCTTGGAGTGTTCACGAGGAAGCTTTGTGGTGGTGGCGAGTAATAGCGCTTGGGTAGCGTGTTGCCCAAGCGTGCTGACATAACTTGAATGTGGCGTGTTTTGAGACTCCGCGCTGTGGCACCATTTGTTTACAAATGTTTTGTGCCAGGCGTTGCACAGTGGTTGAGCAGTTTAAAGTTGTCGGTGTTATCTCAGATCATTCTTATCAGCATTACTAATCTACCTAAATCACTTAGATAAAACATTGCGTTCAC